AATTGAATTTTACTAATATTAACCTACTAAAAACATTAATAACACAATTAACTTAACTATCTACTAATAGCAAACATAATGAACCAGTACCTTAAAGAAAGGATAATATTTTTTGTTGGCTGATAATTCCCATGGAACATCATTGAAGTCAAGTGGTCTGATAAACTATGTCTTCAACTCACATATAGCGTCGCAAACTGCGGTAACATGTCTAGAGATCGTCTCACCCGAATGTTGGAAATCCTCCATCATCGTTATAATTGTCTCATTATTTTCAACAATTGTTAGAAATATCATAACTTGTTCTTCCAAACTCGTCCTCCTGGTTGGTTGCAATTTGCCTTGATTGGACAAAATTTCACATAACAATGTAAAACAGTCTTTGTCCATGTAACACTTGTCATAGATCCTGTCATGATGACCATTGAGTACTTCCAACATGTACTGATGACCAGTTAATACGGATGTATGTCGTGATTCACGCACACTTGCTTCAACACGGTAACACCGTAGAGTGCAACGGCTATATCTGTCAGTATTTCTTCTTCGTCCCTCTCATCTGTAGCATGTCGTCTTCTTCCTATACGGCTAGACGACGCCATTTAAACCTACACATTTGTAAAACATTTATCAACAATTATCAGCAATTAATAGTTGTTGTACTACTTAGCAAAATATAACAATCAATATTTAATTGTAATGACAATCGAAAACGGTGTTTACACATGTAATATCACATAAATAAGTTCATACAGTAGCGTTATAAATTGTAATTGTAATGACAATTGCCCACTGACGCATACAAAATTGTTGCCAAATACTGATGAAATATAGTGTCATCTACTTATTATTGGGAAAGTTGTTATAAATCTAGTTACCCTTTTCCTCCAGTAGGAGTTTCAGAAATATTTCTCGCCACCCTGGATTTTCATATAAGTACGTGACAACCGGCAAGTAAAACTATGTCGATACTTGCATGGCCGTCATGATGTCAATACAATTGCTCATGGAAAAAGGATCACATGGAGCACTGGTGTTCTTTTCTTCCCTGTCATCTGCACTGCGATTGGTAGCCCTCGATCCCATAGTCCGCTTCTCCACAAGCTCGTCTGTCAAGCTAAAAATGGCATCCGCAATTGAATGTCCCGACCTCCTTCTATGCCTCCTATTTCTCACTCTTCCATGGCCAGATGTGTTTGGCCGTTTTTCCCCTATCGTCCGATCAGGATCAGGTTCAAAGTTGCTATCATCAAGGGGAACCGCGCCAGGATTGGAATAACTGGAGGTCTCCACTGGTTAGGATGTAGATGTGTACGCATATCTTCCAGTAGCAGTTTGCTTCTCAAATATTATTTCATAAAGCTCCTTGTGAGGAAGTCCCTTGTGGTAAAAGTGTTGCGCCAGTGGGTTTTGTTGGTAAGTTCAAAGAATAATATATTAATATTTAGCTGTCCGAAAAAAATGCGTACATTTATGGTGTTGTTGAATAATAATAGTTAAAAAATATGAAAATTTACCTTGACATATTCTTGCCAAACCTCAACGGGACACGTTGGACTTTGTGACTCCTGATCCCACCCGAACCCCTTGTGTTGCAGCAATTTTTGTCATGATTGATAAACTTTTCGCAGGCGAAAGAACTTAGAGATTAATTGTATCACGTTGAGTCTCTACCAGCCAGTGATGATATGTCGTCCAACATTTTCTGGTAATCAGCTGTTTTCATTGCAGTACCATGCGAAGTTTTGGCCCGCTTAAATAACAGGACCAGAAATTTGTGGGTCATCTCAGCAGACCAGGCCACAGAATCACTCATCTAAGGATAGTACGGTGAGGGAGAACCAACATTGGGGCACCATACGAATCACCAATCACATTACAAAATATAATACTCATATGTTAACGTAATCAACTAAACACATATAAAATTATACCTCCTTCGATCCGACACTGCTTGAAGACGTCAATGCAGGGGAAGATACATACAATGTCGACCAACAGGGTGTATGGCGAACTCCAAGTCTGGAAAAACGTCGAAACTTTTGCCTCTGTTGCAAGTAATAATCAATCCTGCGACGTCGAGACAAATTATGCTGACATCTGTGCATATGAGTGTAATTTCTTATTACGATTAAAGAACGATGTGGAATTTACACAACAAATATATCAATTATTGAAACTCGAATAAAATATTTGAGTCAACCAATTACAAAACGAATTATTTAAGTTCAAATTAAAAGGATTAATGAAAAGAAAAAAACAGTATTAACACAAATTATTTCCAATAAAAAAAATGAAAAAAAATAGCGTCTCGGTGACTTGAAAACAAATAGGTAACGGAAACTTACAAACTGGATTTGGATACTTCGCGGGTCTCTTTCCCTTCTCTGAGACAGATAAATATCAAACACAATTAAAGGGATTAACGTGTGTACAGGAGATTAAAAACCTGTCAAACAAAACAAAAAACTTATTAAAACAATTCATTCGTGTGCCAAACGAAACAAAAACGCATTGAAAAGGATTCATGCCTGTGCCAAATAAAACAAAAACGAATAAAAAAAAAATAATTCCCTGCCAAACAAAAACAAACAACCAATTACAATCATGCGTGTGCCAAATGCCAAATAAAACAACAACCCATTCACAATCCATTAACGCAAAACAGCATCCCCTTCTACACAGATCAAACAAAAACCCATTCACAATCCATTCAACCCAAACAAATAAATAACGCAAAAAGGCATCTCCTTGTACACAGATCTGAGGTGGGTTTGATCCAGATGGGGGTGTGGGTTTGTGACAGATCGGGTCACAATGGGTTAGGTTACGAAAGATTGGGTCACGGTGGGTTGGTTTACCATAGATCGGGTCACGGTTGGTTGGTTTGTGAAAGATCGGGTCACGATGGGTTGGTTTGCCATAGATCGGGTCATGGTGGGTTCGTTTGAGAAAGATCAGGTCAAGGTGGGTTGGTTTGTCGTAGATCGGGTCACGGTTGGTTGGTTTGCAAAAACTCGGGTCACTATGGGTTGATTTGCCATAGATTGGGTCACAGTTGGTTGGTTTGCAAAAACTCGGGTCATGGTGGGTTGGTTTGTGACAGATCGGGTCACGGTGGGTTGGTGTGTGACAGATCGGGTCACGGTGGGTTTGTGTGTGACAGATCGGGTCATGGTAGGTTGGTGTGTGACAGATCAGGTCACAATGGGTTTGTTTGTGACAAATCTATTTCCGAAGTTCACGGTTGGGGATCTGAGGTGGGTTCGTGGTGGGTTTGTGACACAGGGATTTGCGTGTTCACGGTGGTGGGTTGACGGTGGGTTCATGTTGGGTTAGGATGTGGGTTTGGGACAAAGGGATTTGCGGGTTCACGGTGAGAAGTGAAGCACTGAAGCTGGTACTGGATAATAGAAAGTGAAATAGTGGTAATGCAAACTGGGAAGTGAAGCACTGAACCTGGTAATGGATTATCAGAAACTGAAATGGTGCTGATGGATACTGAGAAAGTGAAGCACTGAAAACGGTAATGCAAACTGAGAAGTGAAGCACGAAGCTGGTGATGGATATTGAGAAAGTGAAATAGTGAAGCAGTGAAGATGCAGTGAAAAAACAAACTGTAACGGTAAAAAAAAAAAAATTGTCAGGATAGTTGTTAGGATTGAATTATCAGGACAAGATTGTGTAAATAATAAAACAAACACTATCTGTAAAATCCGGTCCAAAATATGAATAAAAATACTTAGCCAAACGCGCCAAAATGTTGAGTATAAATCTCAATAAGAATTAACTCATCAAGATTGACAAATTCAGTAGAAAATATATTGAAGAACTTTAAGAACAATACAAATAATTAGCAGGCAAAACTGCATTATCAATTAATTATAATTTGATTATTAAATTTTTATCAAACTTTGAACATTTTCTATTAATTCAGAGTTTGAAGGAAAATTTTGTTCTCCTTTTATTTCTCTTATGACGGAAGCCAAAATTTCAATCCATTCAAGGAATTTAGCATGGCCAGAATTCTGAATATACGTATTGTCAACAACATAATCATTTTATAAAACTTTTCGGTTCAAATAGGTGCTAGCTGGACTAACAGAAACATGTTTATGGGATTAGACCAGGCAGACTAAAGACTATAAAATATCCTAAAGATCCCGAACTACTTGATCTCTTCAAAAACATGGATTTCGATGATGTAAATTAATAATTTAGTAAAAATAAATTTGTTTATTTGTTTAAGTTTAAATTAAATTTGTATATTTTGAAGTGTGAATATTATATTTATGTTAAAATTAAATTATTTCTTTAAATTAAAACCATATAAATTTCTAACCAGTTAATCATCAATTTATTTTTATTTAATTGTTTAAGTTCAAATTAAATTTTTAAAGCTAAAATTAAATTATCTCGTTAAATTAAAACCATTATAACATTCATTTATATTTATTTACTAATTAATTAAAAATTTTACAAATCACCCTTAAAAAATTACATAAACCACCTTATATAATTCTCAATTTAACCCCAAATATATAAAAAATTAAGAAGGATAAAATAAATTTTTTAGGCCCATGGGACTGGTCCTATTGGGCCCAAACCTAGGCCCGAGCCTTTCCCACCTCTGTCCACTAATGAGCAATCAACTGATTTCTTTACTAAATCTTTGCCAACAAAGTTCATTATCATCTTTTGTACATGTTGGGAGTGTTAGACACTTATCACCCACCAACTTGAGGGGGGTATTGGAATAATGAGTGTAATAAGTTCTTATTGTTCAAATTGTTTTAATTACTTCGGTTTTATTAAATTAGTTTAAATACTTTAAGCAATTGTATTTGTACAGCTTAGGTTATTGTGAAGTAATTGGGATACAGCTATACTAACTCTAGTTAAATATTCCTTAAGTAAACTCTAGTTGTTGACAATTAGTCAAGAACTTTAGATATAAAAAAGTCAATATTGTAAAGTGGACAAGAGACTTGTTTCTTCTCTCTGGTTGTTACTTCCTTCTCTTCTTGTTACAATCTCATTATAAGAACGAAGAAATATCGAGGAAATGCTATCCTCCGAGACATAATTATCTTCTCTATTTTACTTGCTCTCTCACTTCATTCTCTTCCTTGAAAACCTGACAAAAACAATGGGTAACGTCTTCTCTTTCTCAATCTCAGGTGATGATATTTTATCTCGTTGCCTGAATTGCTTGTTTGCGGAAACTGCTTACATAAGAGACCTCGAAGACAACCTCCGTAAATTGCAAGCGGAGAACCAAAAATTGATTGAAGCAAGTCACGATGTAACGACGAGGGTTAAGAATGCTGAAGACCAACCTGAAATGAAAATGAAACGGCTTGACAAAGTGCAAGGCTGGCTTTCAAGGGTGGAAGCGGTGGGAACTGAAGTTGAGGAGATAATAAAAGATAGCTCTCGAGAAATCGATAGATTATGTCTTGGTGGCTATTGTTCCTGGAACTGCATATCCAGCCACAAGTTTGGAAAAAGAGTGGCTGAAAAGTTGCGAGCTGTGGCCACTTTAAAGAGTGAAGGAGATTTCAAAGATGTAGCTGAGAAGGTACTAAAAGATTCTGTGAACGAAATACCAATTGATCCAAAGATAGTTGGTATGCAATCCATATTTGATAAAGTGTGGAGATGCCTTGGAGAAAAGCAAGTGGGAATTACAGGGCTACATGGCACAGGAGGAGTTGGTAAAACTACACTGTTGACTCAGGTCAACAACAACTTCTGCAACGAACGAAATGATTTTGATGTTGTGATCTGGGTAGCGGTGTCTAAAGACCACCAAGTTGAGAAGATTCAAGAAGCGATTGGGAAAAAGATAGGTTTTTCAAGCGAGTCGTGGAAGAAAAAAAGTCTCCTTGAGAAAGCTCAGGACTTGCTCGAGATTTTGAGAAAGAAGAAATTTGTTTTATTATTGGATGACATTTGGGAGAGAGTTGATTTAACCAAAGTGGGAATCCCTCATCCAGATCCAAACAATGGATCAAAAATAGTTTTTACCACTCGTTCTGTTGAGGTTTGTGGCCTTATGGAAGCTCATAAACATTTTAGAGTGGAGTTTTTGGAAAATGAACAAGCATGGGAATTGTTTCGATCAAAGGTTGGAGAAGACACTCTTAACAATCATCCAGATATTCTTGAATTGGCCAGAATTGTAGCCAAAGAGTGTGGTGGTTTACCGCTTGCACTCATTACTATTGGTAGAGCAATGGCTTTCAAGAAGACACCTGGAGAATGGAGCCATGTCATTCAAGTCCTACAGAGATCAGCCTCTGAATTTCCAGGTATGGATAAAGTGTATCCTCGTTTAAAGTTTACTTACGATAGTTTGCCGAACGACAAAGTTAGATCTTGTTTCTTATACTGTAGTTTATTTTCTGAAGACTATAAAGTTGATAAAAGGGACTTAATAGATCGTTGGATAGGTGAGGGATTTTTAGATGAATATGAGGGAATTGGAGCTCGAAATCAAGGATACCACTTTATTGGTATTCTTCTTAATGCATGTTTATTAGAAGAAGTATCCGGTGTTGATGATAAAGTAAAAATGCATGATGTGATACGTGATATGGCTTTGTGGATAGCATGTGAAGTTGAGAAGGAGAAGGAAAGCTTTCTGGTCCATGCAGGTGCCAGACTAACAGAAGCACCAAAGGCTGACAAATGGATAGGGGTGAGAAGGATATCATTAATGGCAAATGAAATAGAGAACCTATCAGAGGTTCCTACATGCCCTGGCCTCCTCACATTGTTTCTGAAGGACAATAGATTGAAGATGATAAATAATGACTTCTTTCAATCTATCTCTTCTCTAAAACTTTTAGATCTTTCATTTAATCTCGAAGTTGGTTTCACTACAACAACTTGATCTCTCATGGACTGAATTAGAAGAGTTGCCAAAAGAGTTAAAGGCTTTGGTTAATCTTAAATGTTTGAACTTGGAGTTCACCAATCATCTTCGTACGATTCCGCGTAAATTGATATCTGAGTTTTCAATGTTACGCGTATTGAGTATGTTCTATTGTGGAGATAGCATTTTGTTTGGTGGAAATGAATTTTTGGTGGAGGAATTGCTTTGTTTGGAAGTTTTGAATGTGTTAAGCATTGACTTAGGGACTAACTCTGCACTCCAAAAATTTTTTAGCTCTCGTAAGTTACATAACTTGATCGACTCTCTGAGGCTTCATCGTTTAGAGAATATTAAGTCCCTTGATGTTTATTCTTTGGCAACTATGAAGCATCTCGATACTCTAGCCATTTCACATTGTGAAGATTTGGAAGAGGTGAAGATTGACTTTTTATGTAACGTCCAAGAGATACGAGAGCCTCATGGTTTTCAAAACCTCAGGACAGTAGTTGTAGAGGGTTGCATTAAATTGAGGGACTTGACGTGGCTTATTCTTGCTCCCAATCTCAGGTTTTTGTATGTTTATGATTGCTCTGATATGGAAGAAATAATCGATATCTCAAAGTTTGGTGAAGTTGAAAAGATAATGGGAAACTTGAACCCATTTGCAAAAGTCAATCGGTTTAGACTACAAAGCCTGCCAAAATTGAAGAGCATCCACCGGAATGCCTTGTCTTTCCCACTTCTGCAGGAAATGGAGATAGCTGGATGTCCACTACTTAAGAAGCTTCCACTTGATTCCAGTCGCGCAATCACGAACAAACCTGAATTTGTTATCAGAGGAAAAAAACATTGGTGGGAAGAGTTAGAATGGGAGGATGTAGCTACTCAAAACATTTTTCTACCATTTTTCCGGATCATTGACTTTTAACAGGCATCAACATGAATGTGGAGAGGCTGAAGCAGAACTTGTATGTGTACGTAATTATGTATTTTGATTTAAAGCCTTTCAATTTGTTCGTATTGTTGACACTTTGTTTCTTGCATGATGTTAACTTTTTCCAGATTTGCTTTGTTTGACGGGAAGCTCGTTAGATACTTCAAATATTATCTGCTCAAGGGTCAAGATTCATTTATTAACTGTAATACCTCGTATTTTATAAGTTGTTTTATTAAACTTTATGTTGTAATTTTTGGAGGTTAAAATGTAAGAATTTGAAAGTTTTTAGAAAATAGAGTGTCATAGCTAAAACAATAGGGGATTAAAGTGAAATTTGTCAAGATATTTTTTGTGAATTGAGCGTTTGACCCACCCTGTCAGGGTCCCGCAAACTATTTTAACTCTGATTATGATTCGGTTGGATTTCCTTTTGCAAAACTAGATCAAAAAACTTCAGTTTAATTTGTTTCCTGAAAATAAAAATAGCAGCAGTAATAGTAATAACAGTAGTAATAATAATACTGGTGATAATGAGTGATAGTAATTTTCATTCCATTTTAGAAAATAAAATATCTGTCTAAGAGCAACTTATTTAGTTTCCTTCCTTAAAAGAATCAAGATTAAAATGGGTATTTTTTCTACATCCCGTATAATATCAAGCTCATCTCCTCAAATATGAAAATTGAAGCATTATTGCCAACCAATATCCTAAATTAAAGAAATAGCGAAGAGATTAATTGACAACATCAAGGACCAGCTTTCGTGACTTGAGAACTGACCATCTCAAGCGCCGGTAGTAAGCAGCTTGAAGAAGAGCGAGTGACAGCACAAATATCCACTTAAACCCCATCTGCAGGTTTTTAAACCCAAATGAAGTTAGAACTGTTTACAGGCACTTGAAATACAATCATAAATTCCTCATCTCAACTCCCATCTAAGATAATGTTGTAATTACTGTATTATCGACTCAGGATGTGGTTGTGCACCACCCAAGATGAAGGATTTGAAGAGAATTGAATCACTATTTTCATTAGGGATATCTCACTTTCAAGTGTTAGACCCAAATGAATAGTTTATGAGCACACTAGGAAACGTTATATAGTACCAAAATTACCATTATAGTAAATATCTTGACGCAGTTAGCCAATTTCACTAAAAAAATCATCATGTTTATATATGTTGACTAGCTATTGCGCAATTCATCACCATTTCATAAACAACAAAAAAGCTAAAAAGTAAAATTTTAGAGTGTTGACTCATCACAATTACGTAAATAGGCGTCTTATGGATAAACATTTGCAAGCAACTCAAAACATTTTTTTGTAAAATGCCTCTAATTGATATTTGAAAATAGCCGCATTGATTCAAGACATCTTTGAAAGCTTTCTCTCTTTATTCTAAGATAATTTCAAGTGCACAGGTTAAGAATTTACCAGTTTTCTCTCTTCCATTTCTGGCTCAGCCGCCCATGTCAAAAATGTCACAACATCTTTCCCCATCTGTGCCAACATTGTGAAAGAAAATGATGATTCACTCTTTCTAGATAAATCTGCAAGATATGATGGAAAGGTTAGGCGATTACCTGTGACTCTGTTGCTGGGGTACCATCTTCATATTCAACAGCACCATCATTCAGCATTTTGGGCATAGCTATTGCCCCACCAGGAAAGTAAGGATTATAGTGCAGCCCTTCTCGAATCTACAACAGACAAAACAAGAGATTTACATTTACACGTTTAGAACCAAAGAGCAAGCCAGTCATGTAAATGCTTAAAATGATTTATTGAAGAACTTTAAGTTTGACAATTCAGTAGACAATATATTGAAGAACTTTAAGAACAATGTTTTACATACTTTTAGCAAGCAGAATTGCTTTATCTGTTTTCTCTGCATTCCCACAGACAAGGTTTGGCTGATATTAATTATAAATTGATTGTTAACTTTTAACAAAGCTGTGATCATTTTTCCGTTAATTCAGAGTTACAAGGAGTATCTTTTCTCCTTTTATATCCCTTGTGGCAGAAACCAAAATTCCAAAATTCCAATCCATTCAAGGTGTGACATAACATCTTTTACTTTCTCAAGGAATTTAGTGTGGCCAGAAATCTCAATAAATGTATTTTCAGCAACATAATCATTTGAAAATCTAAACAATATCATCACTTTGAACAGAAACAAAGGACTGAAATTCAGAAATTTCATAAACCAGTAAATCCTCTTACTAACTATAGTAGTGATTGAACATTATATTTTCTATTTGCTGAAAAAATTGTAGGTAAGCTGAGAAGTAGATAATACCGAGACACCAGCTGGAGGATCACAATAACCATTTAGAAGAGCAAACACATAGTTCTGACCGTTATGACGGGCCTGAAAAGATATGGTGTTAGACACAATAGGATAAATGATTGCTTCATTTCTAGTCATCAATTCAGTAAATTGCTAATACCTTTGTGATAAGACTTAAATCGGGAGGATATGCCCCCCCATTAGCAAATCTGGCTGCTTGTTCATTTGCATATGGTTGAGGAAAACGATCACTTAGCTTGCCAGGTCTTGTAAACATCTCACCTTCATCATTCGGCCCATCTACCACTTCAATTTCAGCTGCCATAGCCTTCGTCTCTTCTTCAGTGTATGCCACACCCACAAGATCACGAAACGATATCAAGGACATAGAGTGGCAAGATGCACAAACTTGCTGATAGACTTGGTGACCCCTACGAATCCTGCTCATATATAGTCGACATTACCTATGAAGTAAAATTTGCATGAAAAATCACAAATTTATTGTGCTACTTCATCAGTACATCAGTATTCACAACACAACAATCAGGTAGTAAGAGTAATACCAAAAAAGAAAAAAGAAAACATTTACAGGAAAGCTACAAGAAAACTGAAATCCAACAAACATCTACGTAAAGGCAGAAACCACAATAAGTTTTCCCTGCTGAGAATGCTGGCAGAAGCGTAGAGCATTTCATTGCGGTTTTGACAGGTCAATAGAGTTGGAGAGGCCTCTGAACTTATATCAGTTTTACCAGTCCCACGGAATAAGCCTTTTCAAAATAAATAGTTTTAGATTAGCAAAAACAAAACAATCAACTTACGAAGCATGGTCATATGAGCTGAGAATGCCTTTGTGGGGCCATGGATAGTTAGGGCATGCCAAGCCATGTTCAGCCTCATCAGAATATGCTACAGTTGCACAACTCAAAAGTCCTGAAACACTAGCCCCAAGAAATGCAAGCATCCTTAAAGAGTACATCCCACCAGATTCAAATCTATCTTGATCCTGCTTTGCAAACATGTTGGACAGTGCTGGAAGGTTCTGCTAATTGTATTATAGAAAGATTTTTAGAAACAAAAAATGATTCTCTTCAGAATTCCAGATAAATAACACATAGAATCACAACGCAATAGGATATGAATCAACAAAACAAACTGAGTTACAGAAAATAAAAAAAAGTTCCATGAAGTAAAATGTTTCCTTTGAACAAGAAAAAAGATAATACAGTGGAAACTACTTCAAATCATTGAGGTGTCAAGTTTTCCAACACGATAATAAGTTAGCATGAACCTAAGGATAACCCCACCAATACAAATAAATAATACAAAAAAAAAAAAAAAAATCAGTTTGTAATTGCACTTAACATTTGACACATCTGATTAGCATTTATGGCATAAAAGAACAGTGTTCTTCTAGCTCTAGTTACCTTTCTGGGTGAAAAAACAAGAAAGCAATAAAAGCCCTTCTAAATTGCTATATACTTAAAAACAAGAAAGCAATAAAAGTCCTTCTAAATTGCTATATACTTAAAAACTTACACAACAAAATTATTACATTTCACATTTGCTGCTATTGCATTATGCATATTCAAATCTCACGTTTTCAAAATTTGGTTAAAAAATTTAAGTAACATATTCTCATAATACGCTGATTTTAGAAAACTGTTTTGTGCCTGTTATGTCAGTTACCACATCATCCATCGTCAGCATAACTGTAACAAGTCACTTCCCAATTCCCATGTCAGTTAGCAAACAAGTTAGAAATTATAGTATTAGCAAAAAAAAAAAATATTCACTTTTTTACTCCTCTCAATTGTTTCATAGAATTTACTAAAGCACAAACACTCTTAAATTTATTGGACAGCAGAAATAACTAGAACACTACAAAAACCAAACAGTAAAATTCTAAAAGATAAAATAAAACTAATATTAAAAAAAAAAAATTAGTACCTTAACATCGTCACCATTCTGACGAGAGAGATTCGAAATGAACCGATTGAACCTTCCAAATCCTAATGATCATTATTAATAATGTTTAATTTATGCAAAGAAACAGAATTAGCTGACAAAATATCATTAAAATGAAAAAAATAAAAAAATAAAAAATAAACCTCAACTGACCTTTGGTTCCAATATTTATCTTCCTGGCAATACCTGTGATTAGTAATGAAGTTAATGGTCAAAATTCCGATTAAGGAAAAAAAAAAAAAAGGAAAAAGAAAGAGTAATTTGAGCAATAAGAGAGGGAAGTCAGAGTACTCATGGTTTTGTGAAGAACTGGCGGTGAGATAGAGCAGTATCGCAGGCGTGAACTGTGTGATGAAGAGTGACAAAACAGAGAGAAACTGAAGAGGAGGGGAGAAAGACACGTGGCGACGCGTGTATGGGTATATCACCGTTCAAAATGAGCGGTTTAGAATTGGTGGAGTGGCATAGTGGGCCCGTGTTATTCTTTCCCCAGTTGCTACTCGTAAGTCGTAAGTCGTAACCGAGAAGTTTAAGAAGATACCTGATTATCTTTATCCCTCATTTTAAATCTATTTTTTGTTTGGATAAATTTAACTTTAATTTAATTATTGGAAATAATATTATAATTTTTAAATATACTTACATTCCATTTTATTTTTTGTTTTATTTTTAACATTTAATCTTTCATAATTCTAACCCTAAATTTTCATAACCTAACATTAAATTTTTTTTTTTTTTTTATAATTAAAGGTGTCTGGACCAGCTTATGCGTATCTTAATTAATTTTTCGGAATATTGAAATTACCGGTCGAGTAAAAGTCTTAATGGCTACCCTATTAACAACTGAGAAGGGACTCGAACTTATGACCTCCTGAGTAATATATCTACGAGTCCCTATCGAACCACTCGGTTACTCGTAGGTAGTTCCTAATATTAAATTTTCATAATCATTGAAATATTTTGTTTTATTTTAATTATTTTTTTATTTGATAAAAATGTTATACTAGGAGTATGGAAATTATAAAAGAATATATCAGAATATAAAAAAGAGAAAATAAGTTAAAATTAAGAAACTGGGGAAAAATTATGTAAAGAAAAACTTAATTAAGTTTGATTTGGGAAACAATTTGTAAAACAAAAATCTAATTAAGTTTGACATTAGGAAAAATAAATTTGATTAAGCTTAGAAGGTTATATCCGGTATTAAATCAGGTTTAAAGAGATTTTTTTTAATTATAGAAAAGGTGTACTTAGCTATTGAGGGTGAAGATTAATTAGATAGGGACTAAAAAAGTATAAACAATTTGTCCCAACCCAAGGTTTGCCTTCATGACTTTTCCACCTAAAAAGTTTTAAAATATCACTTTTCCACCCAACATTTATATTTGGTTAATACCTAAATTACACTTTACTTTCTCAGCTGGTGTTTGACAAGTTATTAGGAGCTAGAGTAGAAGGGGTTTTGTAGAGTGTGGGGGCTAGTGGATCAAATAATGATGACTAATTAAATATTTACTACTAAAATCAACTGAAAATCAGCTAAGAGCATAAGACCCTAACTTTGCAGTGGTCAGTAATCGGTGAGAAATCAAGTGCCGAAGTAAAAGAGGTTTTTTAGAGAGAAAACCAAAGGTTTAAATGGTGATGACAGAGAAACTTTTTGTAATCAAAATCGGTTTTGATTAGTTACGAAATATTAACTTTGGGTGAAAAAAGTGGTATTTTGAAACTATTAAGTGGAAAAGTGTCATTAAGGCAAACTTTGGGTGGGAAAAAACTGTTTACTCTTACTAAAAATCACTTTCTTTTTAAGAACAATAATACTAATCTTACTAACCATTCTCACTAACCCCTTTCACTAAACTCATATGGGAGTTTGTGATTGGCTTGGTCAGACGAGACCTATTATTATATAGGCAGAACCCATATGAACTGATGAATTGTAAGCTGATATGTGCCGTTAGTAAGAGAAAGTTAGTGGTGAGTGTAGTAAAGATAATTAATACTTCTATGCTTGAAGGTTTTAATAAAGGAAAGTGTTTTTAGTCCCCATATAATTGATTAATATCGTTCATTTGCTAAGCATACCTTTATTATATTTAAAATAACTCTCTTTAAACCTCATTTAATACCAAAATTAACCTTCTAAGTTCAATTGGGTTTTTTGTTAACCCCAATTTCGAAATTTATTATTTTTCTTCCAAAAATTTTCCCCAATTTCAAACTTAGCTAGTTTTTTTTTTTTTTTTTTTTTTTTAACACCCTTTTTCTTAATTTCAAATTATTGTTTTCTCTAATTTTCTTCTTCATATTTAGATACATTAGATTGCGTGATTAACTTTTTCATAGTTTTAGTAATATATTTTCATCAAATAAAAAATAATTAAAAGAAAAGAAAATATTTCAATAATTATAAAAACTCAGGGTTAAAGTTTATGTAAGAATTAAAGGTTAAAAATTAAAACAAACTGTGAAATAGAATAAAGGTGTATTTAAAATTATTACTGTTAAATTATCAAAATAAAAACATTTAAAAGCAGATATTCTGATCAATTTAATGGGACTAAAAATCACTTCCCTTTAATAAAATCATATATCTTAATATTTTAAATAAATTTTATAAATCATTAAGACTTATAACTATAGAATACATATTTATTTTTCTTCTTCGAAAAAGAAAATTTATAAAAACCTTTGAGATGCCTATTTAACTGATTAGTGATTACAGTTGAGAGTCGTTAAGCTAAACGCCTAAACCTCCAGAACCCTCGACGCACAGCAATTTTAAAGGCACAACGTGGCGCCATTTTAACCGCAACCGAATGTTCCACTAACGTATAACTTATGCGCACAGTGCACACTAACCCTCTCTTCCCTTTTCAATCCGCCACGCCACGTCGCCTCACAAGCTTCCTTATCCTACACTACAAGTGCACTTTAGCCTCCTCCTTCTCATTTCCACAATTTAACGCGCCAAACTCTGATAATTTTAAACAGAGAGTTTCTCTGTCTCTCTCATGAGATTTTCACACACTCTCTCTAAAACTCCGTTTTTGGCTCCGATTATGGCGTCCGGATCGGTTTCTGGTTCGGCTTCGCTGGTGTGGTTTAGGAAGGGTCTCCGGATCCATGACAATCCGGCGTTAGAGTACGCTTCGAAGGGATCAAAGTCTGTTTATCCTGTGTTTGTTATTGATCCGCATTACATGGAACCGGACCCTAACGCGTTCTCTCCAGGGTCGGCCCTGGCCGGTCTGAACCGAATCCGGTTCTTGCTTGAGAGTCTGGTGGATCTTGACTTGTCTCTCAAGAAGCTCGGGTCCAGATTGCTGATTTTGAAGGGCGAGCCAAGTGAAGTTGTGATTCGGTGCTTAAAGGAGGTTCAATTTCTCTCTTTAAAAGTCTTATCTCTTTTTACAGTTATAACTGTACTTTAAATATGATAGTTATATTTACTGTGTTGGGAAGGACGTTTGAATTCTAGTAAAATTTTTTTTTTTTTTTAATTACATATAATTCAATTGCTTCTCTTAGAAAAAGATGAAAAAGAAGGTTTTTTTACGAGCAGTGTTTATCAAGCATTTGATGAGAAGCAGTTTAATAGCTTGTTTAACCATGGAAGAATACTTAAATAAGTAATTTTTTTTAATCTATTTTAGCTGAACGCTCTAAAACAGTTCGCTTTTGGGTGGTTCAACTCTCAAACACTTCTTTAAGTTTATTGGTTACCGCTAGACTTATACTAATTATTCTTTACAATTAGTCTCTTCTTATTTTGTTCTTGAAGTGGGATATCAAGAAGCTTTGCTTTGAGTATGACACGGAACCGTATTATCAGGCTCTGGATAAGAAAGTTAAGGTCAGTTTTTTTGTTTCCTAACTCAAGAAACATTGAAGTAGCTTTGTATTGCTTTATAAATATCTAGGAAATCAGGTAGTATGATGTGATTATGTTTTGGAGAATAGTTAATAGGAATTTTACGTCTGTTTAACAGGATTATGCTTCTACAGCTGGAATTGAGGTTTTCTCTCCAGTGAGTCATACTCTCTTTAATCCTGTAGATATTATACAGAAGGTATGTGACAATTCCCTGTCAAATGCGTTAGACCTGTCAAGTATCTAATTAAGATTATAACTAGATTATGAAATGGAAGAGTGTTGTTTACTTGATTCTGAAGGAGGCTTTTTTACTCTTGTATTGGTTTCGTATTTCTTCCACTAATTCATGGCTGTGTTGTTCATGAAGAATGGGGGAAGGCCAGCACTGAGTTATCAATCATTTTTGAAGCTTGCCGGGCAACCTTCATGGGCATCGTCCCCACTGTCAATCTCAATTTCGTCACTTCCTCCTATTGCAGATGTTGGAAGTTGTGAGATTACAGAAGTTCCAACAGTTGAAGAACTTGGCTACAGAGACTATGAACAGGTATGAAGTTACGATTTACAAATACTTTCTAAGATTATTAATTTGTCATTGAATAATAGTGTGTGTGCAGGATGAGTTGACGCCTTTTAGAGGCGGTGAATCAGAAGCCTTGAAGAGATTGAGAGAATCTATCAGTAACAAGGTATGATGCTAAGGTTCTGCGCCTGCAAAGTTTTGGTTGCTAAGTAAACCAGTTGCAGAATGAAATAAGATTATGCTCTTTGAAGATATAAACAATTTGAAGAGACTAAATAGTTCAATTCAGCCTCACCGTACTAGTAATACTATTTCCAAATATCCCCCATATATTTGATTTTCTGATGCAAGTAATGATTCAAAGCTGAAAAACAATTTAAGTCAGGAGAATTGCTTCAGAATGAAAAATTGCAATGTTTTTTGACAATAGATAAGCAATATGGCTTTCACTGGATGCCACAAAGGCACTACAAGTTCCCATTTTTTTTTCTATCTTTTGTTATGATGTAAATATTGTACATGGAAATTCCATTAAACTTTTTATATTAGCATTTTAAGTTTTTATTGTTAAATTCTCACTTTATACTGAGTTGCTAGTGTGCCTGGCATTGATGTAACTCTTTTCTTTGTTTAAACTTTAGGAGTGGGTGGCAAACTTTGAGAAACCTAAAGGTGACCCATCTGCATATGCAAAGCCAGCAACAACTGTTCTGTCACCTTACTTGAAAGTGAGTTTACTTGGAATGTTCTGTTTTGGACATTTTGAGGATTTTGTTACTGCAGACCTACACAAATGTAGACTTATCTCACCACTGCATTTGCATTTTGTGCTTTGTAACTCTTCCATTTTCTCCATTTCTTATCTCTTTGCAGTTTGGATGTCTGTCTTCCAGATATTTCTATCAATGCCTTATAAATGTTTATAAGAATGTCAAAAAGCACACATCACCACCAGTTTCCCTTGTTGGACAGGTCAGTCTACTGTCTTGTATTTAGTAATGCTGGTTCTAGTCTTCTAGATGCAGTAAACTAAAATCCGGTTCAACACTGCAGTTGCTATGGCGAGATTTCTTCTACACTGTAGCTTTTGCCACTCCGAATTTTGACCGGATGAAAGGTAATAGAATTTGCAAGCAGGTAAGTGCAACTAATGGCTTTTATCAGTTTATTTTCTTTGTTGGAGATTTGTGGTTGTTCATTTTGCTATCTGAAAATTGCAACTGAAGTCTACTCTCAAATTTGAAGGAAAAGAAAAAGATATAAGATATACATAAAAGTCAGTGATGATGATAATGTGACTGATCATTATTTGTATTTAGGGCCATATTTGTTTCCTTTAGACCATCTCCAACCACAAACACCAAGTCGGTGCAAGTTTCACACCAAATTGGTGTGATTTTTGGTATATTTCACTATTGCATCTCCAACCCATTGCACCAAGTATTACATCAAAAAAAATATTCCTTAGAATATTTTTTTTCTATTAATAATCAATAATTCATCTATTTCACTAATTATTTTTGTATATATTAATTAAATATTGGGAATGATATTTTTATTAAATAATAATTACTTTGAAAATTATACTGATTTAATAAAATTAAGTATTTATTTAATCAAATAAACATTACATTTAATAGAAAAAAATATTACATCTAATATAAAATGCCACCAAAAAAAAAAAAAAAAAAAGTCAATAGCAACACAAAAGTAAAATTCTATATTGATAGTAATTTAATTTTTCGAATTAGTATATTTTTCCCACCAAAAAAGACAACAACAGCACAAAAGTTTTGTTTTTAATTTTTCATCATTTTTTGAATTATATAATTATTATGAATTTATTATTATAAATATTAATATAAACAATAATCAAATTAACATAAATACAAATAACAAAAATAAGAAAATAAAATATATTTTATAATAGATGGATATTGTCATACCAAATTAGTGTGAATGAATAGTATTATACCAAATTTGGCATAAGACTGTTCACTTACACTAATTTGATGTAGTTTTTTGTGTTGGGTTGGAGCACATTTTCTACACCATTTTGGTGTTTTACACTAAAATGGCGTTAGGTTAGAGATGCCCTTAGGTTTATTTTTCTTTTTGTAAAAATAGATATTGTTTGAGCCTGGTTTATGTTGTAACTAGAATTTTGTTACTAAGAGTTATAATGCAATTCCAAGTAGACTAGTTTGTATTTATTCTGCTACAGAAAGTCAAATCTTTTTGGGATTTCAAAAGAATTGAAAGGTTTTCTGCATATTTATGTGAAGAAACTGTGAATATTATTTTTCTCTGGGAAAACATCCTTTGTCAGAATCAATGGTCACTATAGATCATTGACAGCATTAGGTGTAATTGATTACTGTCGTCAGAGCTATATCATCTCAAATTATATTGTGTAGTTCTTTTTCACAAGTCAAAATCTACGGCAAGCAGTTTCAGAAATTATAACTAATTTGTTTTTCAAATTGCAACTTCTGATTTTTTTTCCTATATGAATAATAAGTCCCTCTGACATGGTTATCAATAGTTTGAGGAAAATCAATGTGATTCTGCATGACCTTCCGAATTCAATATTTATTGATTTCATATTTGTTATTGAGTTTTGATGGAATACTATCTGGTGATGTAGATACCTTGGAATAATGATGATGAACTGCTGGCTGCTTGGAGGGAAGCTAGGACAGGGTACCCTTGGATTGACGCTATTATGGTCCAGGTGAAATTTGTGTTATGCTTTGTAGTTTTTTATTAACTGCTGCTGCTACCTAGGTGTGCCCTTCCTTATCTAGGCAGAGTATTTGAAGTTTGTATATCTGCACTGTTGTAGCTTCGCAAGTGGGGTTGGATGCACCATCTTGCTCGACATTGTGTAGCATGTTTCCTAACTCGTGGCGATCTGGTATGATTGAAATGTTTTGGATTCTTTTTATCTCCTTATATCTTTTTTTGGTCTTGACATGAATTTTCCCTGCTGCTAGTTTGTTCATTGGGAAAAAGGGCGTGATGTCTTCGAAAGACTTCTTATTGATTCAGATTGGGCAATTAATAACGGAAATTGGATGTGGCTATCATGTTCATCATTCTTTTACCAGGTACAAATCATCTGCACATTTCTCTTAGCCACAGTGGCTGCTAGTGGAGAGACTTGTGTAATTAGATTTTCCCTTCGCAAGTTACTTTTTTTCTAGTGCAATTGTTCATGTTTTAATTGTTTTTGTGCTGACCAGTATAACCGCATCTATTCCCCTGTGTCATTTGGAAAGAAATACGACCCCAATGGCAATTATATCAGGCATTTTCTGCCTGTTTTGAAAGGTATGTTGAAGTTCAACCCCTTTATCATATTCTTTGGCTCGGTTTATACTGCTGCTCACATATATTTAATGATCAGATATGCCAAAGCAATATATTTATGAACCATGGACAGCTCCACTGAGCGTTCAAACTCAAGCAAAGTGCATAATTGGAAGAGATTACCCAAAACCAGGTTAGTTATCTCATTGTGGTCTCCATCAAGTGTTTTCTCTTATCTTTGATATACCGGAGTAAACAAGGTTCAAAAATTGAATCAACTCTGTTAAAACTTGTCAATGGGGTCTGTTAAATAATATATTTGGAATGTTCTTCTGATTGATTGTGATTGGACTATGCATAGATTGTGTATTTTAACTGTCCCTTTGCTCTATTCTTCTGTGTTTTGTCTCAGTGGTTTCTCATGATTCTGCAAGCAAAGAATGCAAGAGAAAGTTGGGCGAAGCATACGCTTTGAACCAAAAACTGAACGGCCAGGTGAGCGAAGATGATTTAAAAAATTTAAGAAGAAAATTAGAGGAAGATAAAGAGCAGGAATCCGGAAGTAGAAGGCAAAAGCAAAAGCTCTGACTGGTTATAACTTAAAACAACATTAACAAATTAGGCCTGGCATTACAAGAGGATAGTTTTCCACTCTCGCAAATTCAAGTCAGTAATCATAGCTTAAACCCTTTTGATTCCCAATAGACCAAATTAGGAGTAATCCCTTAACCACAATCCATCCAACTTTGTCTCACTTCATCAATTTATCCAATTAAACTGTTATCTTAAGGTTTGTTTGTACACTTTTGTTGTTATCCTCTCCTGGTTTTGAATGTTTTATCCCATTGGCATAGGATTTTTTTTTTTACTTTTTTTGGCCATTTCTAAGAATTCAATAAAAGGGGACCAGAGGTTTGGCAACTTTGGTGTATCTTTTACGACTTGAATCCTTTTCTGATTTGAGCATTTCTAAACTTAGAAGGATCTCATGACACGTGCATTTTCACTTATTTGTGATTGAGATTTATTTGTATATTCTTATTTTGTAACTTTTAAATTACAAACTAACCATTGGATGGTCGAGTGGTTCGATAGAGACTCTTGGGTATATTATTCAAGAGATTTTGAGTTCGAGTCACTCTTCAATTGTTAATAAAGGTGACAATTTGAACTCTTACTTGGTCGGTAGTTTCAAAATCTTGAGGGATTAGTTGAAGTGTTCGTAAGCTGATCTAGACATCTCCAGTTATTAGAAAAAAATTCAAATTCAAATTACAAGTTTTATTTGTTTAGGTAAAAGCTAAAATGAGGAGAAGATTTTGATCTAGAATTTGGAAACTATAAAATTCAAGAGATAATGACAATAAAAGACTAATTTTTCCCTGTGAAGGAAAAAAGAGTATTAAAGGTTTAAAGAAAATTAAGAGAGTAACAAGTTTCAGACTTTCTTTTATACATTATTTTAAAACCGGACTTGATGTGAGACTCAGACAAGGTGATTGGGTTACGGGTCGTCCAATCCAACTGGTTGGATTGATGATGTTGGAGGACATTTTTTTTTTAAATTACCAAATAGTTTCTTAAATTTTAGTATTTTACGAAATACCTTTAAAAATCACAAATTAGTCTCTAAAATTTTAATTTATTTCAAAATTCACAAATAAAATAATTGTCCCTAGGTTTTTGACATATTGTAAAAACACTCTTGTAAATTACAATTAGTTCCTATAAGTTTGAAATATGGTAAAAACCCCTTGGAGTGAAACCTGAACCGAATCGGAGAGGCTGTCGAGTGTCGAGTATTGGTCCTACTGGCCAGACCAGCCTGTTCGGTCCCCAGGTCTTAAAACAATACTTTTATTAACTTAATTACATATGCCCTATATAAACTCATTCCTAATAACAGGTGTTGTTGTTGTTCAAGTCTTACTGGTTTAATTTGTTATAAATACATAATATATGGTCAAGTTTATTATGGACCACGCTTATATCCTCCAAATATTTTCACACTTAGAGATTATTTATGAGTTTATAATTTGAATAATATTACACTAGCAACCCTTTTTCACAAATTTTTTTTCATAATTCTGATGTGATAATTTGCAATTGATCAATTCACAATAAGTTTCACATGGATCTAACTAATTAATTATGAGTTGACTATTTATAAATTATCATATTAGGATTATAAAAAAAAATTTGTAAAAAATGGTTGGTGGTATAGTATTACTGTTATAATTTATGCAAGGAAAAGTTAAAAACACGATCTTGTTAACAGAAAATAAAAATTGGTAGCCCACCCAAGTGTTTTTTTGCTTATGTGGCGAATTCTAATTGGAGAATACACACAAAGTAATAAAGTTGAGTGTAGAGAGTCAAACCACAGACACTCAGGTCGCACGTGCCAAGTCAATCCCCACTGACAACACCGTTATTGAGAGGCATCTTCATCGCAGCCACCCCTAAAAATTTTCTCCTTTCGTTTCACATTATTTCATTTCCAACTCGTACTTCGGAATTTAAAAGTTAAAGTGTAGAGAGAGTGACGGCGTCGTTTTCATCTCTCCGAACACACAGAGGTGACCTGAGATCAACACTAACGAAAGAAAACAATTAACACAAACCCTAATTCCAAACGACGACGATGTGGAGAAGAATCTGCTATTCACGCCTCAGAACCCTAGCACTTGCTCAAGCTCAATCTTCATGTCGATCTGCATCTATCGCTCCTACAATCGCTCTGTCCGCTAATCGATCCCTCGTTTCTCCCCCAGTCTTCGCAGCTTGCCTCTTCTCCTCTGAACCAGGTACTCAAAACCCTAAGATCTTCACTTTTATGTATTCATTCCTGTATTTGTTGCGGCATTTATATGTATTCGTATTTGAATATATGTGTCTTGTGTTTGAATTTTATCTCTTCGTGTGTCTTAGATTGGTTTGGAGTTTTGTGGTGGATAATGTTGTGTGAAATTGACGAAGATTGTTGAGTAAATCTGTGGATTCATTTATTTATGTAAATTTTATCAACTAGATGGTTTATTAGTGGAATTTTTTTTTTTTTTTTTTTTTTTGGTTGGGTTGATGAGGAAGAATAGGATTAAGTTAATGTGTGTGTCTGGGAATACCGTGCTCTGTTGATTGGGGAGGAAAAAGGTTGAAATGTTGAATATGTGTGCTTGTGTTTGTATATATAATGCTTAAATGAGTGGCTATGTGCTTGTTATGTTTGATTGATGTAAATGCCTTTGTTTGGTTTGTAATAGAGACTTCTGTGAAGAAGAGGGTTGAGGATGTCATGCCTATTGCTACTGGACATGAGCGGGAGGAGCTCGAAGCTGCACTTGAGGTAATTTTTGTTTTAAATTCTGTTTTGGGTCAGAAGATGTTCATTTTGAATGCTGTTTGGTTTGGTGGAAAATGTTATATATTACTGTTTTTATGTTTCCCTAAAAGAAATGTTATATATGTGTAGCTGATTGGTGTTGACATGCTTATTCGAGTTGAGGCTTCTCTGTTTTGTTTCAAACAAATGAATCACTTGTTCTGCAAATATTATAACACACTTTTTCTGTTGAAATTAATTTTATAATAAATCTGTCTGTTGTTTATAATTCTAATTGTGGTCCTCTTTCCTTTTCATGTCTTGTAAGCATGTTGATTTTTGTATTAGATGCTTTTGGCAGCTGACTGATGATCTGATTTTGGGTTCTCTATTTTCTGCAGGGAAGGGATATTCTTGAGATAGACAACCCTGCTGGACCATTTGGCACTAAGGTAAATTTCCTTTGCGGTTTTGTTACATTGTTCATAAATGTGTTGCAAAATAGTTTTACCAGTAGTGATCAACTGTGTGGTCATTCGGATTTCTTACTGGAGATTCGCAGTCAAGATATCTGTTTATGTCTCATCTACGTAGTAATGCTTGATATTATTGACTATTGAGGATGTTCTTGTTGGAAATGTTGAGATATTGTTGAATTGTGTGTTTGATTTTCTAGTGTTCAGTGGCAGATTTTTTCCTTGTGTTGCCTCAGCATTTATTATTTTGTAATTTTTTAGGGGATAAGGGTAAAAAATGTCTAAAATGCGACTTTTATGCTAACTCTTTATTGTTGAAGAGTTGCAGTTCTATTGCACTAAAATGATTAATATTTTTCTTTGAAAGAGAAAATCTTTTAGATTCGGTATGTCTTCCACATTCATAAGCAGGCCCTTTTGATTGAATTTAAAGATATATTTTGTTGTGGAGGGGTTTTGTTTTATTATTTTTGTTTCTCTTACTTTTGGTGTAGTCTTTGTACTTCTAATCTACTCTCTCTCCCTTTTATGAGAGGGGATACTAGATTCCACTACCCATTTCCGTTTGAATGGTTTGAAAACTTTAGATCTTGAACAAATGAATTGCGATACTCTAACATCATTGAATTAGATATCCACTGCATTGGTTGTTAAAATTCTTAAGTTTGAGATAGAAACTTGAGTAGTTAGATATAAATAATCATTTCTATTGTTTTATCTTTTTTTTTGAACAATGGACAAAAAGTAAGAAATAATTCATATAAGTATACAAGACCGGGATGGTGATAGGTCTTCTATTTCTTTTCTTTTGTTAGAGTGCTATATGATAGGTCTGCTTTAGACAGAGGAACTGTCCTACGGGGTGGGGATCATTTTTGTCATCAGGACCACCATTTTGGATGACAGATACTTACGTGGAATTTCTTTTGAATTGAATGGACTACCTAACAAGCCTTTATAGTTTAATACAGTCAACACTTATATTGGGTCTGAACCAGTTATTTCTTTGATGATGTTTTTAATATATCTATATTAAGCTTAGTGTGGTATATTTTCATTTGTAAATTGACGCAAAGTGGCTGGCTTTGGTTTACACTTAGACGTCAACAGTTTGACATATGTATAATTGTCTCATTTGACTTGCTTGTAGGAAGCACCTGCTGTTGTCAAGTCTTACTATGACAAGAGAATAGTTGGCTGCCCTGGAGGCGAAGGCGGTGGGTTTTTTTTAAAATATACAAAATCTTGTCTTTTCTTTTCTCACAGCTTTATATGAATGCCTTCTAATGATTTGGGCAAAAAATTACCAAAAGGGCATTGTTTAATAACGTTCATCTAGAATGATTTACCTTTTTTCTTTTCTATTTGCAGAGGAGGAGCATGATGTTGTCTGGTTTTGGCTGGAGAAAGACAAGCCACATGAATGCCCAGTGTGCTCACAGTACTTTGTGGTAAGCGCAGGATCAAACTTCAATCACAGACTCTTAAACTAGAAAGGCCTGTCTGTCAAACTATATCTAAAGTTTGGGATTTGAAGTCCTTTGGTGGATTATGTTCCCTGCCAACCCATGGGCCGAAAATTATGTGATTGACCTAGAATTCTGCATCATATTTTTATCTTGTCTGTGCTCATTATAAAATGGCATAATCAATCAATTCGAATTTGCTTGTATTACTCAGGTTTCCTTGTGTGTAATACACCTTTGATCCAATCATCAAGAGGATTCTTACTTTTAATTGGATTGACTAAGCTGAAACCAGGCAACAAATATGACATCTTAATTATTAGTGGATTTCTTAGCAAATGAAATTGTAAAGACAGGAATCATGACATAAGAAGCCCTTTAATTATATTATATACTCCAGTGAGACCTTTTTTATTAGTTAAGATTTGGTCTGTTGGGCCTGGATGGGACTGAGTTAGGTACTTGATTTCCATGAGTTGTAATTTCATGGAAGGAAATCCATTTTTCATTGGTTTTGTTAAAATGGAATAGGATGAATGAATTAAGTGGCTTTCAAAACTTTTGTCTTCTTGAAATTATCCATTTTTTCTCATGATCCCTTATATTTTCCTACTAATTAAATTTTTTTATTGACAGCTGGAAGTGGTAGGCCCCGGTGGACCACCAGATGGACATGGCGATGATGATCACCATCACTGATTGCATCTGTTAATTTTCCTATTGGAATAAAATATTGAGGAGTCGATGAGGCAGTTTCCAGTATACACTGCAGCTTCAAAAGTTGAAAAGCTCTTGTATTGTTTGTTTTGGATGGTCCTTAGTTCTTGTGGCTGTTGCTTTCCCAAAGTTTGGGACGGTATCTTTTTGTGGTTATTCAAGACACGGGTCAGTCATCTGTTGGAACTATGGATCTTTTTAGGTTTCCTTTAATGCATTGCCAAATAATTAGATGGCTACATTTCAATTCTTTCCTGAAACATCTTGATGCTAGTTTTTAAAGGAATCATTTTTTTGTGGTTTTATAATGTTGGATTCCTGTATTCTAACCCTCCAGAGTTGCACCAAGTGTTTCATTTTGATTCAGCATAAAGATGTCATGGTCATGAATTGCCAGTGAACAATGTCCATGAGAATTCAGGATGCTTATGATGACCCTTCCTTCGATTAAGAGGACGAATTATATTTCTGTTACTTTTGGATGATTTTGGCATTGTATTATTTGATCTTCCCTTCAGGCTTCAAATTCACTGTATTTCTTTCTTCACCCTGACGTTGTTTGAGTTTTGCCTATCGCGAACCACAATAACTAATTAACTAGGCATAAGCCCTTCTCCCTGGTGATTCCCAGACAGTTCGATTTGCTACATGACAAATTTTTTATTTTTTATTTTTTTTGATATATCATAGCTTTTTATTTGCTTTGATTTGTTAAGTATGTATGAATAATAAGGTTTTAGAACTTTACGGAATTAATCCATTTTGTAAAGTGGGATTTGACAATTGGTATCAGAGCAGATTCGTAATCTGACACAGAGGATGCGAAGCGAGTTTCATAAGATGGAGAGTTTGACCTTATGTTTTGTGTTGCCAAGTGTTTGCACGGATGTGTAATGTAAATGTGGTTCGCACATTTGTAAAGAGAACTTTTCAAGAGCTTTATTTGGCCATCAGAATATTTGGAAACCACTCGAGAGGCTGCTGAACGTTTTCCAGGAGACATCGGCATCTTTCTCAACACGCTACATCTACCTTTGCGCAACTCATTTTCCCAAAAGCAGAACTAATAATTTACACATTTAAGGATTAATACTGAGAATTATATTCAAAATTTGATTTCAAGACATGAAATAAAGCCAATTTTGGAAATCAGAAAGAGATTACAAGGGGACTAGCAGCATTCAGAGCAGAAAAACTAAGTATGAATCACCGTTGGATAATTTGATGGTAAAAGAACAAAACTAGATTTTATAAGTTCTTGAGTTCGAATTCTCATAGATCTTAATAGGGGTTGTCACTGAGGAGCTTACTTGGTCGTCAAATTCAGGACCCTGAGGAACTCTGAAAAATTAGTTGAAGTGCGTGTAAACTATTCGAACACCCTCCGTCCAAAATAAAGAGTGATTTGTTTTTGCTTCCAAAAAGATTATAAACCAGACACCTCAAACAAAACTGTCAATTTTTATTGATTGAAAACGTGATCGGAACCAAAAGAGAATTGATTCAAAAGTTCCCCCCCATCACCATCTTACCAATAATGAATCACAAAGGAACAACTCAGCTCAATTTCTTTTCCCATTGAGATAATAGAGACAAAATTACGTGGGCAAATATCTCATCAATTGCCAACAAATTATTCCTTCTATACCAAACCACTTTTTCTAGTAAGTTCATTAGAGAAAGAAAAAAAAAATTCTCAAAATTTTCACAAATTATAACATGAACACTTTGAATATTATAGTAACAGTTAAGATTTACATGGTGCCATTGATTCTGTACATGTTTATTAGCAGTCAAATCGTGACAAAATTCTTTGGGTATAATGTAATGTAATATATACATAGTTGCCTAGAAAAGAAAGAAGAATAAAATTGATTGTGATTCCATGGGGGATCAATTGATATGGAATAAGACAGATTGCAAGAAGCAATCGGAATTTAAAATATTTCTTTTCTTTCCCATCTCTTCTTTTTTTACTTTTTCGTCTCATTTTTTGACAGAATCCAACCTTTTACTTGTCACATTTATCACCAGTAAATTAGCAATCCACGGAAGCAAGAACCAAACTATGAATGGACCAAAATTTTCCTTAATTTTCTTGTTCATTTGATAGAGAGTTCACATTACAAATACGATGTTTCATGTTATAACTCGAAAAATAATCAGTTTATTAAATTTTTAACCGTTGATCCATTAAAATCCAACGGTTTAAGAGTTGATGAGGTAGAAATGAAAATACCTTCAACATTTTTTTTTTTTTTAATATGACTGGAGGCATCCAAGCTAACTTACATGCATTTTAAATAATCATTTGGAACCCTAGAACTATCGGCTGAGTAAGAACTCCAACGACTACCCTATTAGCAAACTATCTTCAATTTCCGTCTCATAGATTACAATAAATCAATGACCATGAATTTGTGTTATTATTAAAGTAGTTTAATTCAAAAGATTATAACTCATTAAACAATATTTAGATATTCCATCTCAACCAGTTGTAATATTACCAAATATTATAGTGAATACATTTACTAGTGTTGTAATATCAATTGATGTAAGATCTACATCGCTTGTACCAAAACGCGACGAGCTATATAATGTCATATCGATGTATTATAGATACTAGCTATATAATATTATTAAATATTTTAATGAGAACATATGTGCAAGTGTTTGTAATATCAATTGATGTAACGTCGTTCGTATCAAACACAATTTACTATATAATGTCATATCAATCGAAATAAAAAACTGAATAATCAATATATTCTATCCAATCTACCATATCCCATAATTCCCACAAACCAAGCTAATCACTTGTTTAACTGTCAATCCATATACTTGTTTAATCAAAACACTATATTGACTAGATAAATTTAAATCAATGACCATGAATTTGTGTTTTTAATTAAGTAGTTTAATTCAAAAAATTATAACTCATTAAACAATATTTAGATATTCCATCTCAGTATTTAACATTTTCCTTTCAACCAGTTGTAATATTACCAAATATTCTCATAAATACATTTATTAGTGTTGTAATATCAATTGATGTAACATCGCTTGTACCAAAACGCGATGTACTATATAATGTCATATCGATGTATTATAGATAGTAGCTATAATATTATTAAATATTCTCTCGAGAACATATGTGCTATTGTTTGTAATATCAATTGATGTAACGTTGTTCGTATCAAACACAACTTACTATATAATGTCATATCAATCGAAATATAAAACTGAATAATCAATATATATTCTACCCAATCTACCATATCCCATAATTCCCACAAACCTAGCAAATCACTTGTTTAACTGTCAATCCATGTACTTGTTTAATCAAAACACTATATTGACTAGATAAATTTAAAGATGAAAGTAAGATATGGGGAACCCTAGCTATTTTGATCTTTGTTAAAGCTAGTTTGATATGGTTCACAAATGTCTTCTCAAAACCAAGAACACAATCGATCTTTTCTGGCCAGACAAAATATACCATACCTACACTTTATTCACAATGTATAAATATATATACATATATATAGGTTATTGTTCTCGATGTCCCTTCCTTAACCCTAATTTCATAGAATTTAATTTACAAGTGCGGGAGCCAGCTTTGCAAATACATGCATGCATGGCTGAGTAGCACTACTTTAATTTCTACTATTTTAATAATCTCAAAAGTTACCAAGTTGTTCGCATTAAGTAATCGTATAAGAAAATTCCTTAGGATATAGTTTCAATATCTTATAATATTAATTCAAATATGGATGGATGTAAATTTGATGTTTAAGATGCAACACGAAATCCACAGTTGGGGCACTTTTGTTTAGCATAGATACCATAATATATTATGATAATCTTATAATATATTAAGTAAAAAAGAGTTAAATAATCTATTTAAGATACCATTTTATTATTATTATTATGTAGTTTCACGTGAAACATGGTTACCTACTGAATCCGAAATGCATACTTTTTAACTTTTTTCTATTGGAAATTCTTTTTCATATGATATTAAAAGTAGGGTTAAAATGCTTATCATGGGTTAACTCGATGTTTACGATATACTCTCACATACTATAAATTGGTCATTGTTTCCAACTTCTTGAAAATTGATGTCATATAGTTTAGGGTGACACTATTTCCTACTATTGACAAACATTATATGAGATATTTCATTTCCTTAGAGTGGTGATATTGTGTTTCTTTATCTAGAGAGATTACATATATTATGTTTTCTTCCATAGTTACTATCTTTTTGTATAAATAGGTTGTGTATTCACATAACAATTAACAATAACTCAATACAAACAATTCAATTTAATTGAATACAATTATTCTCTTTCAAAGATATCTCTCAAGCATACTTCGACTCTCTTCAATTATCTCTTTTGCTCTCTCAAAGATATCTCTAGGGCATACTCTGACTCTCTTCAATTGCTCTCTCAATTCTGACATGATATCAAAGCTTACGTTTAGAACAGTGAGTAGTTATTTATATGGTTATGTGCATGTCTAGGAAAATTCTATCAATAAGATGATAAATGTCAATAAGAGGCTAGGTTTTAACGGGACTGTTTGTGACCCCTCCAGTGTTTCCTTGGAATTTTCTTAGTACGTATTGAATCATTTTCAACATTTATATCTATTCTAGGTTATTGAGTTTTAACAAGTGGTTTCAAAGCTCCCGTCAAATTAGTCAAGCTTCTACTAATCAACCCACTTTAGCCTTAAGTTTTGCTTCAGCCTACAAGACACAAAGACACTCAGGTTAGATAACCAAAGAAGGTCAAACACAATTTCGTACATAAAACATTTATGTTCATACTTTCTCATCTCAAGCGTACTCAGGCAACCTTTGTTTCTTCTCTTTGCCTCTTTTGCCTACTTATTCCACATCTAATGGAAGACAAAATTCACATCTACATAGCAAATGAAATTGTAAAGACAGGAATCATGACATAAGAAGCCCTTTAATTATATAATACTCCAGTAGACCTTTTTTTTAGTTAAGATTTGGTCTGTTGGGCCTGGATGGGACTGAGTTAGGTACTGATTTCCATGAGTTGTAATTTCATGGAAGGAAATCCATTTTTCATTGGTTTTGTTAAAATGGAATGGATGAATGAATTAATGGCTTTCAAAACTTTTGTCTTCTTGAAATTATCCATTTTTTCTCATATCCCTATATTTTCCTACATTAAATTTTTTATTGACAGCTGGAAGTGGTAGGCCCCGGTGACCACCAGATGGACATGGCGATGATGATCACCATCACTGATTGCATCTGTTAATTTTCCTATTGAATAAAATTTGAGGAGTCGATGAGCAGTTCCAGTATACACTGCAGCTTCAAAAGTTGAAAAGCTCTTGTATGTTTTTTTTGGATGGTCCTTAGTTCTTGTGGCTGTTGCTTTCCCAAAGTTTGGGAGGTATCTTTTTGTGGTTTCAAGACACGGGTCAGTCATCTGTTGGAACTATGGATCTTTTAGGTTCCTTTATGCATTGCCAAATAATTAGATGCTACATTTCAATTCTTTCCTGAAACATCTTGATGAGTTTTAAAGGAATCATTTTTTTGTGGTTTATAATGTTGGATTCTGTATTCTAACCTCCAGAGTTGCACCAAGTGTTTCATTTTGATTCAGCATAAAGATGTCATGGTCTGAATTGCCAGTGAACAATGTCCATGAGAATCAGGATGTTATGATGACCCTTCCTTCGATTAAGAGGACGAATTAATTTCTGTTACTTTTGGATGATTTGGCATTGATTATTTGATCTTCCCTTCAGGCTTCAAATTCACGTATTTCTTTCTTCACCTGAGTTGTTTGAGTTTTGCCTATCGCGAACCACAATACTAATAACTAGCATAAGCCCTCTCTCCCTGTGGATTCCCAGACAGTTCGATTTGCTACATGACAAATTTTTTTTTTTTATTTTTTTTTGATATATCTAGCTTTTTATTTGCTTTGATTTTTGTATGTATGTATGATAATAAGGTTGTAGAACTTTACGGATTAATCCATTTTGTAAAGTGGGTTTGACAATTGGTATCAGAGCAGATTCGTAATCTACACAGACACAGATGTGCGAAGCGAGTTTCAAAGATGAGAGTTTGACCTTATGTTTTGTGTTGCCAAGTGTTTGCCGGATGTGTAATGTAATGTGGTTCGCACATTTGTAAAGAGAACTTTCAAGGCTTTATTGGCCATCAAATATTGGAAAGCACTGGGAGGCTGCTGACATTTTCCGGAGACATCGCATCTTTCTCACACGCACTACATCTACCTTTGCGCAACTCATTTTCCCAAAGCAGAACTAATAATTTACACATTTAGATTAATATGAGAATATATTCAAAATTTGATTTCAAGACATGAAAAAGCCATTTGGAAATCAGAAGAGATAAAGGGGACTAGCAGCATTCAAGCAAAAAACTAGTATATAATCACGTTGGATATTTATGGTAAAAGAACAAAACTAGATTTTATAAGTTTGAGTTCGAATCTCATAGATCTTAATAGGTTCACTGAGGATTACTTGGTCGTCAATTCAGGACCTGAGGAACTCTGAAAAATTAGTTGAAGTGCTGTAACTATTCGAACACCTCCGTCCAAAAAAAGAGTGATTTGTTTTTGCTCCAAAATTAAACCAAACACCTCAAACAAAACTGTCAATTTTTATTGATTGAAAACGTGATCGGAACCAAGAGAATTGATTCAAAATTCCCCCCCATCACCATCTTAACAATAATGAATCAAAAGGAACAACTCAGCTCAATTTCTTTTCCCATTGAGATAATAGAGACAAATTACGTGGGCAATATCTCATCAATTCCAACAAATTATTCCTTCTATACCAAACCACTTTTTCTAGTAGTTCATTAGAAAGAAAGAAAAAATTCTAAATTTTCACAAATTATAACATGAACACTTTGAATATTATATAACTTAGATTTACATGGTGCCATTGATTCTGTACATGTTTATTAGCAGTCAATCGTGACAAAATTCTTTGGGTATAATGTAATGTAATATTACATAGTTGCCTAGAAAAGAAAGAAGAATAAAATTGATTGTGATTCCATGGGGGATCAATTGTATGGAATAGACAGATTGCAAGAACAATCGGAATTTAAATATTTCTTTTCTTTCCTCTCTCTCTTTTTTACTTTTCGTCCTTTTTTGACGAATCAAACTTTTACTTGTCACATTTATCACCAGTAAATTAGCAATCCACGAAGCAAGAACCAAACTATGAATGGACCAAAATTTTCCTAATTTCTTGTTCATTTGATAGAGAGTTCCCATTACAAATACGATGTTTCATGTTATAACTCGAAAAATAATCAGTTTATTAAATTTTTAATCGTTGATCCATTAAAATCCAACGGTTTAAGAGTTGATGAGGTAGAAATGAAAATACTTCAACATTTTTTTTTTTTTTTTAATATGACTGGAGGCATCCAAGCTAACTTACATGCATTTTAAATAATCATTGGAACCCTAGAACTATCGGCTGAGTAGAACTCCAACGACTACCCTATTAGCAAACTATCTTCAATTTCCGTCTCATAGATTACAATAATAAATGACCATGAATTGTGTTATTATTAAAGTATTTTAATATTTAATCAATACCGTGCTCTGTTGATTGGGGAGGAAAAAGGTTGAAATGTTGAATATGTGTGCTTGTGTTTGTATATATAATGCTTAAATGAGTGGCTATGTGCTTGTTATGTTTGATTGATGTAAATGCCTTTGTTTGGTTTGTAATAGAGACTTCTGTGAAGAAGAGGGTTGAGGATGTCATGCCTATTGCTACTGGACATGAGCGGGAGGAGCTCGAAGCTGCACTTGAGGTAATTTTTGTTTTAAATTCTGTTTTGGGTCAGAAGATGTTCATTTTGAATGCTGTTTGGTTTGGTGGAAAATGTTATATATTACTGTTTTTATGTTTCCCTAAAAGAAATGTTATATATGTGTAGCTGATTGGTGTTGACATGCTTATTCGAGTTGAGGCTTCTCTGTTTTGTTTCAAACAAATGAATCACTTGTTCTGCAAATATTATAACACACTTTTTCTGTTGAAATTAATTTTATAATAAATCTGTCTGTTGTTTATAATTCTAATTGTGGTCCTCTTTCCTTTTCATGTCTTGTAAGCATGTTGATTTTTGTATTAGATGCTTTTGGCAGCTGACTGATGATCTGATTTTGGGTTCTCTATTTTCTGCAGGGAAGGGATATTCTTGAGATAGACAACCCTGCTGGACCATTTGGCACTAAGGTAAATTTCCTTTGCGGTTTTGTTACATTGTTCATAAATGTGTTGCAAAATAGTTTTACCAGTAGTGATCAACTGTGTGGTCATTCGGATTTCTTACTGGAGATTCGCAGTCAAGATATCTGTTTATGTCTCATCTACGTAGTAATGCTTGATATTATTGACTATTGAGGATGTTCTTGTTGGAAATGTTGAGATATTGTTGAATTGTGTGTTTGATTTTCTAGTGTTCAGTGGCAGATTTTTTCCTTGTGTTGCCTCAGCATTTATTATTTTGTAATTTTTTAGGGGATAAGGGTAAAAAATGTCTAAAATGCGACTTTTATGCTAACTCTTTATTGTTGAAGAGTTGCAGTTCTATTGCACTAAAATGATTAATATTTTTCTTTGAAAGAGAAAATCTTTTAGATTCGGTATGTCTTCCACATTCATAAGCAGGCCCTTTTGATTGAATTTAAAGATATATTTTGTTGTGGAGGGGTTTTGTTTTATTATTTTTGTTTCTCTTACTTTTGGTGTAGTCTTTGTACTTCTAATCTACTCTCTCTCCCTTTTATGAGAGGGGATACTAGATTCCACTACCCATTTCCGTTTGAATGGTTTGAAAACTTTAGATCTTGAACAAATGAATTGCGATACTCTAACATCATTGAATTAGATATCCACTGCATTGGTTGTTAAAATTCTTAAGTTTGAGATAGAAACTTGAGTAGTTAGATATAAATAATCATTTCTATTGTTTTATCTTTTTTTTTGAACAATGGACAAAAAGTAAGAAATAATTCATATAAGTATACAAGACCGGGATGGTGATAGGTCTTCTATTTCTTTTCTTTTGTTAGAGTGCTATATGATAGGTCTGCTTTAGACAGAGGAACTGTCCTACGGGGTGGGGATCATTTTTGTCATCAGGACCACCATTTTGGATGACAGATACTTACGTGGAATTTCTTTTGAATTGAATGGACTACCTAACAAGCCTTTATAGTTTAATACAGTCAACACTTATATTGGGTCTGAACCAGTTATTTCTTTGATGATGTTTTTAATATATCTATATTAAGCTTAGTGTGGTATATTTTCATTTGTAAATTGACGCAAAGTGGCTGGCTTTGGTTTACACTTAGACGTCAACAGTTTGACATATGTATAATTGTCTCATTTGACTTGCTTGTAGGAAGCACCTGCTGTTGTCAAGTCTTACTATGACAAGAGAATAGTTGGCTGCCCTGGAGGCGAAGGCGGTGGGTTTTTTTTAAAATATACAAAATCTTGTCTTTTCTTTTCTCACAGCTTTATATGAATGCCTTCTAATGATTTGGGCAAAAAATTACCAAAAGGGCATTGTTTAATAACGTTCATCTAGAATGATTTACCTTTTTTCTTTTCTATTTGCAGAGGAGGAGCATGATGTTGTCTGGTTTTGGCTGGAGAAAGACAAGCCACATGAATGCCCAGTGTGCTCACAGTACTTTGTGGTAAGCGCAGGATCAAACTTCAATCACAGACTCTTAAACTAGAAAGGCCTGTCTGTCAAACTATATCTAAAGTTTGGGATTTGAAGTCCTTTGGTGGATTATGTTCCCTGCCAACCCATGGGCCGAAAATTATGTGATTGACCTAGAATTCTGCATCATATTTTTATCTTGTCTGTGCTCATTATAAAATGGCATAATCAATCAATTCGAATTTGCTTGTATTACTCAGGTTTCCTTGTGTGTAATACACCTTTGATCCAATCATCAAGAGGATTCTTACTTTTAATTGGATTGACTAAGCTGAAACCAGGCAACAAATATGACATCTTAATTATTAGTGGATTTCTTAGCAAATGAAATTGTAAAGACAGGAATCATGACATAAGAAGCCCTTTAATTATATTATATACTCCAGTGAGACCTTTTTTATTAGTTAAGATTTGGTCTGTTGGGCCTGGATGGGACTGAGTTAGGTACTTGATTTCCATGAGTTGTAATTTCATGGAAGGAAATCCATTTTTCATTGGTTTTGTTAAAATGGAATAGGATGAATGAATTAAGTGGCTTTCAAAACTTTTGTCTTCTTGAAATTATCCATTTTTTCTCATGATCCCTTATATTTTCCTACTAATTAAATTTTTTTATTGACAGCTGGAAGTGGTAGGCCCCGGTGGACCACCAGATGGACATGGCGATGATGATCACCATCACTGATTGCATCTGTTAATTTTCCTATTGGAATAAAATATTGAGGAGTCGATGAGGCAGTTTCCAGTATACACTGCAGCTTCAAAAGTTGAAAAGCTCTTGTATTGTTTGTTTTGGATGGTCCTTAGTTCTTGTGGCTGTTGCTTTCCCAAAGTTTGGGACGGTATCTTTTTGTGGTTATTCAAGACACGGGTCAGTCATCTGTTGGAACTATGGATCTTTTTAGGTTTCCTTTAATGCATTGCCAAATAATTAGATGGCTACATTTCAATTCTTTCCTGAAACATCTTGATGCTAGTTTTTAAAGGAATCATTTTTTTGTGGTTTTATAATGTTGGATTCCTGTATTCTAACCCTCCAGAGTTGCACCAAGTGTTTCATTTTGATTCAGCATAAAGATGTCATGGTCATGAATTGCCAGTGAACAATGTCCATGAGAATTCAGGATGCTTATGATGACCCTTCCTTCGATTAAGAGGACGAATTATATTTCTGTTACTTTTGGATGATTTTGGCATTGTATTATTTGATCTTCCCTTCAGGCTTCAAATTCACTGTATTTCTTTCTTCACCCTGACGTTGTTTGAGTTTTGCCTATCGCGAACCACAATAACTAATTAACTAGGCATAAGCCCTTCTCCCTGGTGATTCCCAGACAGTTCGATTTGCTACATGACAAATTTTTTATTTTTTATTTTTTTTGATATATCATAGCTTTTTATTTGCTTTGATTTGTTAAGTATGTATGAATAATAAGGTTTTAGAACTTTACGGAATTAATCCATTTTGTAAAGTGGGATTTGACAATTGGTATCAGAGCAGATTCGTAATCTGACACAGAGGATGCGAAGCGAGTTTCATAAGATGGAGAGTTTGACCTTATGTTTTGTGTTGCCAAGTGTTTGCACGGATGTGTAATGTAAATGTGGTTCGCACATTTGTAAAGAGAACTTTTCAAGAGCTTTATTTGGCCATCAGAATATTTGGAAACCACTCGAGAGGCTGCTGAACGTTTTCCAGGAGACATCGGCATCTTTCTCAACACGCTACATCTACCTTTGCGCAACTCATTTTCCCAAAAGCAGAACTAATAATTTACACATTTAAGGATTAATACTGAGAATTATATTCAAAATTTGATTTCAAGACATGAAATAAAGCCAATTTTGGAAATCAGAAAGAGATTACAAGGGGACTAGCAGCATTCAGAGCAGAAAAACTAAGTATGAATCACCGTTGGATAATTTGATGGTAAAAGAACAAAACTAGATTTTATAAGTTCTTGAGTTCGAATTCTCATAGATCTTAATAGGGGTTGTCACTGAGGAGCTTACTTGGTCGTCAAATTCAGGACCCTGAGGAACTCTGAAAAATTAGTTGAAGTGCGTGTAAACTATTCGAACACCCTCCGTCCAAAATAAAGAGTGATTTGTTTTTGCTTCCAAAAAGATTATAAACCAGACACCTCAAACAAAACTGTCAATTTTTATTGATTGAAAACGTGATCGGAACCAAAAGAGAATTGATTCAAAAGTTCCCCCCCATCACCATCTTACCAATAATGAATCACAAAGGAACAACTCAGCTCAATTTCTTTTCCCATTGAGATAATAGAGACAAAATTACGTGGGCAAATATCTCATCAATTGCCAACAAATTATTCCTTCTATACGAAACCACTTTTTCTAGTAAGTTCATTAGAGAAAGAAAAAAAAAATTCTAAAAATTTTCACAAATTATAACATGAACACTTTGAATATTATACTAACAGTTAAGATTTACATGGTGCCATTGATTCTGTACATGTTTATTAGCAGTCAGATCGTGACAAAATTCTTTGGGTTTAATGTAATGTAATATATACATAGTTGCCTAGAAAAGAAAGAAGAATAAAATTGATTGTGATTCCATGGGGGATCAATTGATATGGAATAAGACAGATTGCAAGAAACAATCGGAATTTAAAATCTTTCTTTTCTTTCCCATCTCTTCTTTTTTTTTACTTTTTCGTCTCATTTTTTGACAGAATCCAACCTTTTACTTGTCACATTTATCACCAGTAAATTAGCAATCCACGGAAGCAAGAACCAAACTCTTGAATGTACCAAAATTTTCCTTAATTTTCTTGTTCATTTGATAGAGAGTTCACATTACAAATATGATGTTTCATGTTATAACTCGAAAAATAATATGTTAATTAAATTTTTAATCGTTGATCCATTACAATCCAACGGTTTAAGAGTTGATGAGGTAGAAATGAAAATAACTTCAACATTTTTTTTTTCTTTTTTTAATATGACTGGAGGTGTCCAGACCAACTTATATGCACCTTAACTAATCATCTGGAACCCTAGAATTACCGATTGGGTAAGAGTTCCAGTGGCTACCCTATTAACAAACTATCTTCAATTTCCATCTCATATATGTTAGATTGCAATAAATCAATGACATGAATTTGTGTTCTTAATAAGTAGTTTAATTCAAAAGATTATAACTCATTAAACAATATTTAGATATTCCATCTCAGTATTTAACATTTTCCTTCCAACCAGTTGTTATATTACCAAATATTCTCGTGAATACATTTACTAGTGTTGTAATATCAATTGATGTAACATCTACATCGCTTGTACCAAAACGTGACGTACTATATAATGTCATATCGATGTATTATAGACCTTAGCTATAATATTATTAAATATTCTCATGAGAACATATTTGCTAGTGTTCGTAATATCAATTGATGTAACGTCGTTCGTATCAAACGCAACTTACTGTATGATGTCATATCAATCAAAATAAAAAACAGAATAATCAATATATTCTATCCAATCTACCATATCCCATAATTCCCACAAACCAAGCTAATCACTTGTTTAACTGTCAATCCATGTCCTTGTTTAATAAAAACACTATATTGACTAGATAAATTTAAATCAATGACCATGAATTTGTGTTTTTAATTAAATAGTTTAACTCAAAAGATTATAACTGATTAAACAATATTTAGATATTTCATCTCAGTATTTAACATTTTCCTTTCAACCAATTATAATATTACTAAATATTCTCGTAAATATATTTATTAGTGTTGTAATATCAATTGATGTAACATCGCTTGTACCAAAACGCGATGTACTGTATAATGTCATATCGATGTATTATAGATAGTAGCTATAATATTATTAAATATTCTCATGAGAACATATGTGCTAGTGTTTGTAATATCAATTGATGTAACGTCGTTCGTATCAAACACAACTTACTATATAATGTCATATCAATCGAAATATAAAACTGAATAATCGATATATATTCTACCCAATCTACCATATCCGATAATTCCCACAAACCTAGCAAATCACTTGCTTAACTGTCAATCCATGTACTTGTTTAATCAAAACACTACATTGACTAGATAAATTTAAAGATGAAAGTAAGATATGGGGAACCCTAGCTATTTTGATCTTTGCTAAAGCTAGTTTGATATGGTTCACAAATGTCTTCTCAAAACCAAGAACACAATCGATCTTTTCTGGCCAGACAAAATATACCATACCTACACTTTATTCACAATGTATAAATATATATACATATATATAGGTTATTGTTCTCGATGTCCCTTCCTTAACCCTAATTTCATAGAATTTAATTTACAAGTGCGGGAGCCAGCTTTGCAGATATATGCATGCATGGCTGAGTAGCACTACTTTAATATCTACTATTTTAATAATCTCAAAAGTTACCAAGTTGTTTGCATTAAGTAATCGTATAAGAAAATTCCTTAGGAATAGTTTCAATATCTAAATATTAATTCAAATATGGATGGATGTAACTTTGATGTTTAAGATGCAACACGAAACCCACAGTTGGGGCACTTTTGTTTAGCATAGATACCATAATATATTATGATAATCTTTAATATATTAAGTAAAAAAGAGGTAAATAATCTATTTAAGATACCATTTATTATTATTATTATTATTATTATTATTTTATGTAGTTTCACGTGAAACATGGTACCTACTGAATCCGAAATGCATACTTTTAACTTTTTTCTATTGGAAATTCTTTTTCATATGATATTAAAAGTAGGGTTAAAATGCTTATCAGGGGTAACTCGATTACGAATACTTTCACATACTATAAATTGGTCATTGTTTCCAACTTCTGAAAATTGATGTCATATAGTTTAGGGTGACACTATCTCCTACTATTGACAAACATTATGAGATATTTCATTTCCTTAGAGTGGTGATATTGTGTTCTTTATTTAGAGAGATTACATATATTATGTTTCCTTTCCTAGTTATTAATTTTGCATAAATAGGTGTGTATTTACGTAACAAATAACAATAACTCAATACAAACAATTCAATTTAATTGAATACAGTTTTCCTTTCAAAGATATCTCTCATGCATACTTCGACTCTCTTCAATTGTCTCTCTTGCTCTCTCAAAGATATCTCTAGGATACTTACTCTCTTCAATGCTCTCTCAATTATGAGATGGTACAAAGCTTAGGGTTAGAACAGTGAGTAGTATTTATATGTTATATACATGTTTAGGAAAATTCTGTCAACAAGATGATAAATGTCTAAAGAGGCTGGGTTTTAATGGGACTGTTTGTGACCCCTCCAATGTTTCCTTGGAATTTCCTAGTACATATTGAATCATTTTCAACATTTATATCTATTAGTTTATTGAGTTTTAACAAGTGGTTTCAAAGCTCCGTCGTATATCAAGCTTGCTAATCAACCATCAGCCTTAAGTTTGCTTCAGCCTGCAAGAGCATAGGCAATCGGGATAGATAACCAACAAGGTAACACAATTTTGTACATAAAACATTTATGTTCATACTTTCTCATCTCAAGCGTAATCAGGCAACCTGTTTTTTCTCTTTGCCTCTTTTGCCTACTTATTCCACATCAATGGAAGACAAAATTCACATCTACAATGCAAGCTTCAAGTTTATGACTATACAAAACACAAGCTTGGGGGAATGTTGACATGCGAATATGGAATGTTGATATTCTATTTCCTTACTAGAAAGATCACAAACATTATATAAGATGTTCATTTCCTTACTTATAGTGGTGCTATTGTGTTTCTTACCTAGAGAGATTACAATATTGTCAATATTATGTTTCCTTATATGATTATGTATTTTGTATAAATAAGTGTGTATTCACATTACAATTCACAACAACCCAAAACAAACAATTCAATTCAATTGAATACAAATTTCTCTCTTAAAAAGATCTCTCGGGCATACTATGACTCTCTTCAATTGTCTCTTCTGCTCTCTCAATTTTGACACCTACTTCCCAAACATTATGTAGATTGACGGAGCTTCAGTTTCAAACTATCATTGCAAAGCAAGTTCCAATATATATATATATATATATATATATATATCTCTTTAATCAAGTCCGTGCTTGAATATTGTGGATTTACATATAAGGATGGTGGAATATGTATGGTCTTGATATAATATATCAAGAGGTCTTTTATATACTATAATATATATATATATATATATATGGGATACAACTAAAACAAAGAAAACTATTAGAAAGTGAAATGATTTTTCGCAGGGAAAAATGAAATTGAGTACGATTTATATATAAAAAAGTTAATGGAACAATTAACAAAGAAGTATTATAATCTAAAATATAAGATCAGTGCAAGACAGCATATTGTTGTCTCGTGTTATTAAACTCAGAAACCCAATTTGTGATGTTAATTTAATTCAAGATTTATTCTTCTGGGGCGGGTAATGAGTGGAGTTGACAATCAAAAAGGCATCATTTAATTAAAACCCTCCACAGATGAGGGAAACAAAGATAATGGCCTAAATTTTGACCTAGAAACGAAATCAGATGCCTCCATTTACTGCTGTTACCAATCTTTATCAGCCATTTCAGCAAAAAAAATTCATGGTCAACTAGATAAATCTACTCATTATCATCTTCTCTAATCGTTTTCAATCATTAACTCAAAAAATATATAAAAGCTTTAGTGCAAGTATTACTTCCATTGACCAGATAAGCCGAAGAATGAAAAAATATAATTCATAATGTTATCAGTTGCCAAAATACTTTATATCTTAAGTTTAGGTGGATTGATTACGTTTTAGACTGATAAGTTATATTAAGTTTTCGTGGCTTCTTTGATAATCTGTTTTTTTGCCAATAAAAATGGTTATTGGCTGTCAAAGAAGACTGTTTTTTCTGGTAGTAAAATACTGTAAGAAGAGAATTAAATTATGTATGAGATACTGGGGTTGGATACAACTGTCTGTGGATGTGAAAGCATTAGAGGGAGAATTTTTGAAGGTAGAAAAGGCAGAAGCTTTAAGGCATTAAAGCTGCATTTCATAGGTGACCCAGACATAGTGGTGCATAAAGAATGGACTAACAGTTTCACAACCATTGACCTATAACTCAGTGAATGCCTCTGACTGGTGGGTCTGCATTTCTAACTTTATCTTGTTGCAGCTAAGGATTTATGCCCACTTCCACTTTTCACTGCACATTGGACTACAAGTATAGTGACTAATTTTTAGTACATTAATTATGTTTATATCCCATTATGAAACTTCAACTTCAATCTGGTTTCTGCAACTAGGTATAAGAAAAGTTCAAAAATTTTGCAGAAAATTTTAAAGAATTATGTTACTGGGATTACTGATTATTCCCCATGTACAGTTCATATCAAACATGGGGGAGACAAATTTTTGACAAGTAAAACTAGAGGATATACTACATTATTGGACCAATAAGAGCATTGCAATTTGTTTTATTAATACGAGATATTTTATGAAATTTTACTCTTGATAATATAAGAATTATTCCAACATAAGTAGATTTTGGAATTACAATGTGCTATTATGGTTTCCCTCAACACAAAGAGCATAAAGGAGAAAAGTTTTGTAGATGGGTCTTTGGAGGCTTGAGCAAGTTGAGAAAATATAATATCAAGCAAGAAAGAGGATGGAAAGTGGGGGAAAAGTTGGTATCCTTTCTCCTGTTATGTCTCCTCAGCAAATCTTAAAATGGTGGGACAATTACATCACATTAAATAAATATGTAAGTTCATTTTCTTATTTAAATTAATGATCTTATGATTATTAAGATTTTAAATGTAATTTGATATCATATTAAAAATTTGAAAATTATCATAGTTATTTTAGTTTGATAATGTTGTCCAATCAATAATTAAACGTCGAATATTTGGAATCTTGAATTGCTTTATACTATTTTAGATTCTAATTTAACAGTAATTACAGGTATGTGAACATGAAACATACCAGAACCCTAAACACATTTATACCCAAAACCCCAGCTGTTATTCTCTGAGAGTTGATAATGAAATTTGATTAAAACAAGTTTAAGTTTGTTAAAAAGACAAATTGGAAACTTGAAAGTTGATAACTTTATGTTAATGGGTGTCAATCAATGATGAAAAATTCATAAACAAATGATTGAAAGAAATATTTTTTTCTTTTACAAATTTAGGTTATTCCTTTGTTTTCAGTAATATTCTTATAGTTTTTTTTTTGTTGTGCACAAGCATAGATTCTCTCCATGTTACAAATCAAGAAATGGATGAATGTGCTCTGCCTGCCTCTGCTACTCTGCTTTGATTCTCTGCTAATAAAAAGATATCTTGCTTTTGTCATTGTCTTTTTAGCCGCTTACTTTTCATGGATGCCCTTTCACCTCTTTTGAGTTTCTAGGTGGTTTTAGCACATTGTGCAGCTAGCTGGTGTACACTCTATCACTCATACCTACTCATGCATATTCATCTCTTTTATTCCATTTTTTCACTATAAATACACCCTTCTCTTTCTCCTCCTTTTATCATCCCATTACATTTCCACTCTCTTCTTACTCTTCGCCTTTGCTCCCTCTTTTCCCACTTTTTCCAAAGAAGCGAATATGAGCTATTCACATCATACTATGGGTTCTGGTTTGTTTCTTTTCTTTCTTTCAATGATTAGTTTTATATTTTTTATTTCTTCCTTAACTTGCATGGAGTCTAGATTGCTAATAGTTGCAAGAACTGATTTTTTTTAGTTCTTTTTGTTGTGTCCTATATTTTCTTCTGAATTTCACAGCCCAGTTAAATGGGGTTTCTTACTTTCTTTTGTGTGTAGATTAGTTCAATTTTTTACTCAATGGCGATTGTTGTTCCATTTCTGAGGTTTTCCCTGTCGTGTTCTATTCTTTGGATTTGAATGATTTCCGAGAAGTGATATTGTCGCTGCAAATTTTAGGTAGTAGAACTGCTAGAAGGACATTTGAGTTTGGGAGGACTTATGTGGTGAGGCCCAAAGGGAAACACCAGGCCACTATAGTTTGGTTACATGGCCTTGGGGATAATGGTTCCAGGTATTTTTTTTTTTTCATATTTTTTATATTGTTGCATTCCTATTCTTACAATGTTGTAATTTCTTGTTTCACGGATTGTTGTGATTTAGTTGTTAATATCCTGTTTACATGTAGGACTCTTTCTTTTTGAATCCGAATTTCTGTTCCTTTCCATGTATAAAGAGGAACTTTGTATCTGGGTACATATGTACCTGGTATTGACAGTATTGCTTGAGTGTTTATAGAGCAATTAAGTTGGTGGTCACTGTTTGTGTGAGCTTCATTTGTTCACATTGTGATTTGCCTGGAAGCAGACTCAAGATATTTGTTGTCTGTATTTGATGCTTAATTTGTTTTTCTTTCCGTATTAGTGTCCAAAACCTATATTTTAAGGCTCGACTTTTTGGTTGCAAAAGGAAGAAAAAGAAAGGCAGTTTGAGAAAGTCAGCATCTTGGCATGTTCCAAATTGAGGGCCCATATGATGTTATAGTTTTTCTTTGTTGAGATTCTTTTGGATGTTTTCTCACTCGAATAAATTTGATAGGATAGAGCAGCGGCGCCGCGAAATTATATAGATTTGATTATTCTTCCTTCCCTTTTCTTGTTCAGATTGATGCCAAGCTTAACTCAAGAAGCCATAAATAGAGAAAGTGCACATGTCATATTCATTTATGGGGGACCACAAAATGTTCTTGGTTCTTCTGCCAAATGAGTAGCCATTCATGACCTTTTAACAAAGGATATTCATACTAATACAGTTAAATTCATGTTTTTTCCTGAAATTTTCTGTAAATTGGAAATGGTGAACTCATAATCCTCAATTCAAGGTGAAACTGGGTTTATATTTTTTATTGGTAAACTGTGAGCAGATGGTCATGTTCACATAATTCTGGTTTTCTGCCTTGAGTAGCTACTTTAGCCAAATATTGCGGTCCCAATACTCTAGATGATTATGCAAATTACATCCCTCTTAGATTTTGGTTGTCAACTTCTAAGGGTGTCCCGTAACAGGATTATCATGTAGCATATTAAAATAATTGCTTGTTGCTTTCTTCTATTTTTCTCAATCTCTATTATGGAGGTGGTGGAGTTGGACATTTGTTTCATTCATGATAATATAAAAATTACAAAAGTTAAAGATTAGGTTTCTCATTCAGTCTTCTATTTGGTTGCAGCTGGTCCCAGCTATTGGAAGGCCTTCCTCTGCCAAATGTAAGTATACATATAATTTTTGTTATCCATAAGTTAACATTTTTATTTATGTATATCTTACTACTTCCTTTTGTCCTCTGGTGATTAAAGTTCATGGATTTAATTATTCGACCGATATGATGCCATCCAAATTTATATATAGTAATCTGCTGTCATTCTATGATGCAGATTAAATGGATTTGCCCAACTGCTCCTACTCGTCCTGTGGCTATACTCGGTGGATTTGCTTGCACTGCATGTAATATTGATTGACTCTCAGGACTCTCTTCTGGTTGATTAAATGAGAATTACATATCTTATATTTTATTTTAAATATTAAAAAAAAAAAAATTATCATGCTTTGATACTAACCGAATCATGTAAATTGCTTCTTTGATGTACATCAGGGTTTGACGTAGGAGAGCTTTCAGACAACAGTCCTGATGATTGGGAGGGTTTAGATGCTTCAGCAGCACATGTTGCAAACTTGTTGTCAACAGAGCCAGCTGATGGTACTTTCCAAGGCCATTTTTTGAAATTAACTACCTTACATGATTACAGTCATTTCTCTTTATGAATAATTGATTATGAGCTTCTGTAAATTCCCATGTATTTCTTTAATCAACTTACGCAACAAATATACCATTTCAAAGATGAACTTCAGTTCCCAGCATATCTTTAAGAAGCCATGTTTTTTAATCATCACATGTACCATGTGACCTGAACCGAAAGTTCTAAATATCATGTGCTAATATTAGTTTCCACTGTAACTTCTTTATGCCATTTGTTGTTCTTTAAATTATATTAAGTGAATTGTTGTTAGCAGTATCTAGTTTAAGTTAATTTATAAACTGATGTGAGGTCAGCTTATTCAATTAATGGCCTTCACATTATCTTACAATTTTGTTTTCCTTTTTGACAGTTAAAGTCGGTATTGGAGGCTTCAGTATGGGTGCTGCAATGGCCCTTTACTCTGCAACTTGTTGTGCTCTAGGTAGGTATGGAAATGGAATTCCATACAGTGTCAACTTAAGGGCAGTCGTCGGGCTCAGTGGCTGGCTTCCAGGTTCAAGGTGTGACAACATTCAGATATATCCTTCTCAAATAAATGTTCATCTATGTCCTTTTTTATGCACAAGTTTCTGTATAAGATGAAAGTTACTGGTAAAACATATAATAACAGTTCATAAATTACCTTTGTCAAACTTAGATATCAACATGGATCATAACATTTATGCATTACATGAATCCGTTGAGCCACAGCAGATATGAAAAGGATATCGATAACACTCAACACATATCTGAAAATTTTTCTGATATTTGTTTGCTAAACATTATTTTGATACAGGAACTTGAGGAACAAAATAGAAGGTTCAAATGAGGCTGCAAGACGTGCGGCGTGCTTGCCCATTATGCTCAGTCATGGAACTTGTACGTATATCCATCTCTTACCTGTGAATACCAAAAGTTATGCACGAATGACTGTTAAGAAGCGTTCATGTAAAAATAATTCAAAAATGAATATATAGGAAAGCCTCCCCCTTTACTTTAAACACCGCCATAGAACTTTTCTGCAAAACTTTTTTATTGTGGTCTATACATGAGTGCAATCAAAACCTTTTTGCTATAATGAATTAATACCAAATGTTATTTTGTTGCAGGTGATGAAGTAGTCCCCTTTCAATATGGAGAGAAATCAGCCAACTCCTTAAGTGTAGCAGGATTTCGACACCTTACGTTCAAATCTTTTGAAGGGTAAGTATTGATGTCTTTTCTATGCAAGAATAGACCCATGATTAAGTTTTTAGAAAATAGAAAAGAACTTACTGAGTAGTTGGGTTTTTATTGTGCAGGCTTGGTCATTACACAGTTCCTAAAGAGATGGACGAGGTCTGCAATTGGCTTGCTGCAAGGCTGGGACTCGAGGGGTCTCGTGCATAGTTGTAGCACAACATCAGTTTCTAGTTAAGCATAACATGAGGAAGCAGTCGGAAGCAATAACATGGGAGAAAAATGACAAAGCTTATGTACAAGTAGTTAGTAAATAGAAATGGTTCTCGGGTATATGGTATAGATAAATTAAGCTTCCTAATTTTCCCGTTTTCTTGTTGGTCCTAACAATAAAAATTTTGTATGCATTTTTCTTATATTTCACTTGTAGAGCATAGATGATAATGAATTTAGTCAATTCTACTTTTGGAGCATTTTTGTGCATTCATTAATGCAATAATCAATCTAGTAGACTTTGGCTATTATTGTTTATGGATTCTAAAATCAATTAAACAACCTTATTTATGAACATGAGTAGCAGAATCCATGGGGCATAGCTCTACATAATCCTGTAATCTGCATTCAACATACTTTAATAGTGAAGAACATCACTAAAATCTACCACATGTTTGATGAAAAAAATTGCTTGTCGATGTTCAATGTTCCAATAAAAACAAAATGACAGAATCGCAAAGTTGGCCAGCAGAAAACGGCAGAACTGTTTGATATTATAGATCTATATACAGATGATAATTACAGGAAGTCCTTTCACCAGAGGCTACTGGCGCTGCAACACTATAGAACTCTACCAACACTCCTATAGCAGTATCTGGGCAATACAAGTTTTCATAGCTTGTCCGAGAAAAAAGCAGTTATCGACTTACAGATTACATAGTGTGCTTTTGAGAATAAAACCCAGCTATATAATATTTTATTATAATGTAATAAATAAAACTGTTGTAACTAAACCATTCTCTAGCTCTGTAAATCAATGATCACTGGCTTCACCTTTCAAATCACTGCGGCCAGTATCATTTTTTGACTTCATGTATGGAGTAAGAGGAGGGAAAGATGGCATAGCCTGCAAAATGAATTTGCGCCCACTTCGCAGGCCTGGAGAAGAGCTTGACCTCAACTCCTGTGATCGAGATTGTGGAGGAGATACACGTTTCTGATTTGGTGAGCTAACCTTGATTGTCTTGGTCGGTGTAGAAGTTTCCTTGAGTGTCTCAGGCATATCATCATCTTTCAGTAAGTCATGGAAGGCACTGTCAGAACTGCAGCCATGACCAGCACTGCTCTCGCATAAATGTGGCATAAAACTCATTGAACTGTGCCAATGGCGGTGCCCAGATGATGACTTGAGAGTACTTCCCTGATGCAATTGAGCATGTGGAACTTCTTGATAGTCGCTTATAGGTGAAGCTGAAGAAGCCAAAACCTTTGCATATGGAAGAGACAGTGGGGTGAAATGGCTTATATCTGGAAGATCTTCCCATCTTGGCGAAAACTGTTTTAATGTCCCAGACTTGGTGCCATCAGCAGATGGATTATCCCATCTTTGAACTCTTCGGTATACTGAATCTGCAATTACACATTGTGGAGAAGTGTTTCGACAACTATAAGAAAAAAATAAAAAACATATCTATTTTGAAACAAATGGTTAATCAGTTTGTTCATAATGCAGTTCATTATATATTACGTAACATGTTCAAATCAAACGTAGTACTGACTGATGCAGAATAAGCTGACACTCAACAGACTCGACCAATCATCAATTGAAATGCCTAGACAACTGAAAATATGTGTAATGCACAGATTCGCAAGGATTTCAGAAGGGCAAATAATGCTGCTGATAGTTCAGATAAAATATAATTGTTCTCTACATGAACTTTTGCTAGAAAATTCTGAAGGCGAAAGCTGGTATCTGATTTAATTTCATGTACTGAAAAAGTTCAATAAGTTCATCTGATGAAGAAAAATAAACTATAATATTTTACTGGATAGACTGGAAGGAGCTAAAGATTGAAAAATATAATTCTGACCTGCCTTCTTGCCGAATGAATTACAACAATCCTCGCACCGGCATCCATCAGAGCATCCAACGTTAGCCTAGAATATAGGCAAAAAAAAAAAAAAAGAAATTGTATCCAATCAGAATGATCAATGGGCCAATTTGTGCTAACTTCCCATCCAATTTCCTGATCACAACTCAAGTGTCAGGCCTTTCCTTTTCAAATTAGTAGAAAATTTTGACAACCATAATCACAGTAATTTTGGAAACTGGGAGACCCAATTGGGCAACATGTTTAGAGATATAAACCTTGCTGCTAAGCTAAGAATTGAAGAATTAATTTTGAAATAATAGCAACCCACCAAGGTATTATATACCTGATAGCATTCACAATATTTTTTAAGACACTTAGACTTCTTGCAATTGCATCCTCTTTTGTGCCTGGCTGAGGCCGGAGTTGTCCAGTTTCCATCTTCCTGCAAAGGTTTCTCAAATCAAAGTACTTAAAGTTTCACAGAAATAGAACAAGACGGATACAAAGGAATTACCACAATATTTGCTGGTGAGTTGGTGGCATGCTTAACAATCTTTGGAGCAAATGCAAGTGGATCACGCGATTCAATTTGTTGTCGCAAATCGAGAACTGTGTCTTCATATTCAGGCTTGTTAAAACAGTCTTTACATGCACAAGAATCAACACAAAAGACCCCAGCTGCAAAGCACTCGCAGTAACTGCCAATGACCAAAAATACCAGTTGAAACAAATGGCAAATGTACAGGGTGGTTTTTATTATGCCATTATTTTCTAAACGAAGATCTGAGGCTGGAAAATGAAAGAAGTCTAAATGCATATCAACTTCTAACATTCACTTAAATGTAGACTCTATACGTGCTACCTGCAGACTTACAGTTTCAAGCATTTGGACCTCCTACAGTTGCATCGTTTGCAGCCATCACCTTCACCAGCGTTTATGGCCTTTTTCCTGCATCACACATTCTCAAGTTAAACAGCCAATATAAATAAAAGGTTAAATATCAAAATGATTAAATGAAAGAATAAATGTGTACTTGCCTTTTTGTCTTGGGGCTCACTTGGTTTAACTCCTCAACCCTCTCAGTATTTCGTGAAATGAGTATCCTGCACTCAGAGGAAACTCCCTGCTTAGAAGGAGTCATATGCAGAGAATCACACAGTGATTTCATACTTTCATTACACTGAGAAGCAGCAGAACCGGTTTCAACAAAAGTTTGATTATCTTGCTGATAATTGTCCACATGAGCATGAATTTCCCCAGCTTCAGGTGAGAATAATGATCTATTTGAGTCCTTTGCTAAACAATCCCTCCGCCCATGATCTTTAGAACTCATATAACCAGACAATTTCAAACGTGGAATAAGATCTGAGTCCATGGGCCCTGATCTGCCAATGCTTTTTAAATGCAAACCACTATCAGATGGAATGGGACCTGAGATGGCAAGGCTTCTACTATGTTGATTGGAACCAACAAATTCAGATGAGCTGAAAGAAGTCCAAGAAGCTATAGTTGGGGAGTAGCTGATTGACTCCCTACCGTTGGACACCTCTCCTGGATCAACATCAGAAAATATCAAACTCTCCAAGTCTGTATGGCTAGCAGGTACCTTTGAATTATCAACTTCTTGAATTACATTGTGAGAACTATGGCTCTTATGAGTAGTAGTACTCTTGCAGACCACTGGAGCCTCAAACTGAAGATGTCTACGTATACCACGTTGGTACAAAGTAGCCTCCTACATTTGATTAGAAAAGTTAACGACTGCAAAGTGGATAAGAAAAACAAATTGCAATTTGGCAGTACTTGCCTTGTTTCAAAAAAATATGTGAAGAATGATCCTTGTAACCAGTACAATAAATAAATTCAACTTCTTCCAACTTGTCATCATACATACTCTTCCTAGGAATGATACAAGGCAGGAACTAAAAGTATTGCAAACCATGCTCTTAAAAAGCACTTGCATTTGCCCACACCGCATAATAAATTCTTAACAGCCAAATAAATATTGTTTTAAACTTGAAACTAAGGCTGCTTCATAAAGCGATAAACATATATTCAATACTATCACTCTAAAAATAGAATGCACAAAAACTATTTATATCCTCTCAATAATTGGTTTCAACATCTCATGAAAAACAAAGAAAAAGATACCCTGTGCATAGCATGATGTAATATAAACAAGGCTAGTATCTGTAAAATTTATCAAGGAAGATTTTTAACTCAATTTTATAATGCCCAAGGGAGAACTGGACAAGGAAAACTTTTATATTTTCTTAGAAAATATTTGCACATGAAACCTTAAAAACACCACTTGTAAGATTGTTTTCTACATAGATAAGAGTCCTTGTGGATAAATGGTGAGTAGGAATCAGCTAGAATCTTTTTTTGATGCCATTTAGTCCCAAAAAAATGAAACCATGTCATTTAAATGCTAAGGTCTCCAACAAGCATAAGTGTCCAATAGTTAACAACATCAACAGAGAAGAAATGGTAATGCTACGTGAAATAAAGAAAGAAATATAACTCAAAGGTGATTAAGCAAATAGCTTGACAAGACTTCCATTGACTTAGATAGAAACAATGGCCCCAGTTACTCTCTGGCTTTCCTTCAGTTACTGGTGTCTTGTCTAAGATTAAAAGGTCTTTGAATCAAGCAGTAGACGTCAAGTAATAATACCTATTCAAGATGCAATTCAAATATTTCATTAGGCAAATCAAGATTCTGTAGTGTTTGAACCAAAATTTGAGGGTTTGGAGTGGGAAATAGTGATGTAACATTCAGTTCTTGAATTATAAGTTAAAAATGGAATCAGTCAATTTACTAACGTCTAGTTTTATAATACAGAATTAAGCATTGACTGCTGCAAATTCCACCTTTTCAAGCTCAAGAAATGATGTAAACAGCACTCAACAGAAAATATTGTGCGTAACACCATCAAACATGACAGGCAGCATAAGATATAACTTACTTTCAATAAATATTGTTTTACACTAAATCATGAAGTCATAAATAAGTAATCATGGTATTCAATCTATTTCAAAATTCACAAAAGAGTACACTAATCAAGCAATAACGAAGAAGGCAAAGGTATCAGTCTCTTGTCACTATATAAATGAAACATGAATTTTAACATGACAACATAAAAGAATTATCCACCAATCGAAATAAAATTTAGAACAGATTACAATTAATGCATCACTAGCAGTATATAATGACACATATATACCTTAAAGGATCCTTTTGACACTGGTCTTGAGCTGTCTGAACAATCTTGATGGGCTTCAACGCTCTGCAAAGATTCAGGCAACAACTGGCAACTTCCATCCTGTTCATTATGTTGAATACCTGCATTCTGCAACTTAACAATCTAAGAAACAGCATTGCAAAATAACTCAGTGGATAAGGCCTTTTCGAATCAAAATTCACTATTTCATGGTTGTTTTCGTTCAGATACATTGGAAAATAGATACGTTTTCATATATAATTACCTGAGTCACATGCTGCTCAGGATTTTCTGCACCAGAAACAGGTAACGTACTAGACTCAGCCTGATAATCTGCAGTTTCAACCAAATTCAGTGAACTAGGCATATTGACTCTAGATTGTTCGGGCAACATAAGGACGTAATCCTCTGGGTTTCCATTATTAGCATCATTAACTTTTCGAATGTTTTCTCTGGGGCCAGTAAAGCCACATCGTAACAATTGGCCCACATTATTAGTAGGTTGCACACGTAAATCAGCAGAGATCTTAGAGTCTTCAACCTCTACAGGATCAGTCAGATATTCATCAACACACGCGGAAGGACTCGAAGGCTGGACTTCCTTTTGCAAGCAAGCAATAAGTTTGTTATTCACTTGATTACTGTGATATCCATAAACATCTGAACCTCCTGCATCTACATCATTGCTGACATCATGTAGATAAAAACCTTCAATTGACTGAATGAAGTCTTGGACATTTTAGACTTCAAAAATTTTAGACTAAAAAGAGAATTACACCGTAAAAGAACATATGATTCAGTGCTGTATCATTATTAATATTTTGATTATTCCGAAGCACTAAAAGAATTAGTTAAACAATACCTTTTCAAAAAGCTGGTTTCTCGCTGCAGATCTACATGGGGTGATCTAAAAACTGGTGGTGGAGTTGGAAAACGAGATTCAAAAAACCTCTGCGCATAACGTGCTGCTTTAACTGACTGTATAGGAGAGAGATTGCTAAGATAATTGAAAAAAGGAGAATCCTGGAATTACAGGAGGAAAAAATAATGATTAACCATTCAACTCAAAATTCCATAATTCAATTCTAAACTTCACTGAGATGACGAGCAGTCAACACCAATAATGATTATTCAGAGACAGGTTCTATATATGATTGCAAAAAAAAGCTCTAAACTTTATATCTTGTGTCGTTCCGTTAGCCACTGAATGAAATTTCAAACTTGACTTTTTCAAGTGCTCTGATGTTATACTGACTCAGAAAACTTAATGTTCATCAAGTTGGTTTTTGTTTCTACCCTTTTCAGTAACCACAGAGCACATTAAACTTAATCCTTTTACCAAGTTTTGACTTAACTACAAAATCAACAAAAACCTTAAGCCAATCCCCAAAACAGATCAAATAATAATTAAATGAAATTCAATCGTTCTTAACTATTAAATCCATGGTCAACTTTACAAACACCACTGATATTAACATTAAAAAATTAAAAGTTGCTGCTTTATTTGGTTGCTGAGCAACATTATAGAGATCGACCATAAAATAAATAAAACCAAATAATTACAAAAATAAATAAATAAATAAATAAACTTTAAAGCCTAATCACTGAAAACCCAAATCGCTTAATGAAACATTTTCCTACAAATACAACATTTAACTATTACAAACACTAAAACGAAACGATGACCTGCTTAAACAACAAACGATCGATCTAAGCACCGAAAACGAAAAAAATAACGATGCCGTAAAAGCAAAAAACAAAACAGTGGAAATGGAGACAACTTGAACCGCCGGAGACGAAGCTGATGTGATGATGAAATAGCTTTGATACGATCGCTTTCAGGCGATTCCATAATGATTTGAACGATTGAAACCCAATATATTCACGCCGCATTGTATTTTTCTTCCGTGCGAGAATTTTGCGGAAAAAGTGAAATTGCTTTCTATCGTTATTTTTTGAACCTGAACACGGAGCGGGAAATGTGTTTATTTTTATATTTAAAATGTTTATTATTACAGTGGGCGGAGTTTTGGGCCTGGACCATTAGGCCCTTGAAACCTTGGCCCATTGAGCTTTCTATTTTTGAGATTTAAATTTGGGATTTATAATCATTTTCAAGAGATTTTTTTTTTTTTTTTTTTTTTTTTTTTGTAAACCTGTATGTTAGAACATTTTATGTAGCACTCGCTGATTTAAAAAATTTGATTTGAAAAATGTTGAGAGTTAATACTTTTTTTAGGGTTAAATTGATTAAATTATCAATAAATTTGAAGTTAATTGAAGACAATTATAAAACAACAGATGCTCTCATAAAAAGGCAAACACACAAGAGTTAAGTTGCATTTCAAACGAGTGAGTGCTTACTATTTACTATAGAAAAAAAATAGTTAGGGCTCATCCGAAACCGAAACAAGCGTTTACAAAAAAGGCTAAACACATAGGGTTTATTATTAAAAAAAAAAAACTTTTCAAAAACTATATATATGTATATACTTGAAAAAATGTAACAAAATAATCATAAAATGGATTTATATCATTTTAAATTTTAAATTGAACTTTAAGATAATATCTAAAGCTAATTTTAAGAATTTCCAACAAAATATCAAGAATCTTTATCTAAAAATAAATAAATAAATATTAGAGTTTAGTTGCAATTAGCCAATTACGCATAAAACTAGGCCGTCGGGCCACGGGCTTAAACAAAATACGGGCGGGTTTCATTTTCGTAGTCGGGTCACTCGGCCCACAGCGTCGTCTTCTCAGTCAATAAACCCTAAACAAAAACCTTAACACTCAACAACAAAAGCGAGAACTCAACGTTACACTCTCCATTTAATTCTTCAATTTTCCCTCACTTTCCCTCACTTTATTGCCATCCAAACAGTCCGCCTCCCCCACACTCATGAACTACCGCTTTCAGAATCTCCTGGGCGCCCCCTACAGAGGCGGCAATGCTGTCATAAGCCAGAACACACAGCTAATTTCACCGGTCGGTAACCGAGTGTCAGTCACAGACCTTATAAAGTCCCAAACCGTGACTCTCCCCGTCCAATCATCGTCCAACGTCTGTCGCCTTGCCGTGTCACCGGACGGCACGTTTCTCTTGACAGTTGATGAGAACCAGCGGTGTCTCTTTATTAACCTCCACCGCCACGTGGTCCTCCACCGTGTCAAATTTAAGTATCCTGTCAATGCAATTCAGTTTAGTCCTAATGGAAAATATATCGCCGTTGGCACAGGTAAATTGTTGAAACTTTGAAGGTTAAGAGTTTTAAAAAGGAAAAATGTTTTTGTTTCTATTTAATGGAGGTTAACGAGTTGCTCTTGGAGAAGAACTTTGATGAATGCTTTGCTGAGAAGAAACATTTTTGAGTCAGAATTTGAAGTGATTTCTGAAAAACTACTTAACGTGTGATTTTCCTGAAAGCCCTATCACTCCTAAAGTAGGTTTTTTTGGGGGTAAAAAGCTTCCAATCACAACCTTAATTCCATAAATTTTTATTTCCAACATGTTTGTAGAGATTTCTTTAGCATTTGAATTTGTTTATTTAGTAGATTTGTAATTGTGCTTTAGATGAGGTTTTTTTTTTTTAAATTTTTTCGTATATAGGGTGATTGTATCATTAGTTCTATTTTAGGCTTAGTTATAACTTTTTAAATGTATCTACAGGTAAATTAGTTCAGATATGGAGATCACCAGGGTTTAAAAAGGAAGTCTTTGCCTTTGAGTTAATAAGGACTTTAGCTGATTGCAATGATAAAGTTACTGCATTGAATTGGAGTCCTGATTCTAAGTATTTGCTTGTTGGGTCGAAAGATTTGGCTGCAAGATTGTTCTATGTAAAAGAAAAATTAAAAGGTGTTCATAGCAATAAGCCTTTTTTACTTTTAGGTCACAGGGACTCAGTTGTGGGTTGTTTTTTCGGTGTTGATAAAAAGAGTGGTAGGGTAAGCAGAATTTTTACAATTGCTCGTGATTGTTATATATTTAGTTGGGGTTATAGTGGCAATGATGGTAAAATTGATGAAATTAGTGAGGAAGGTTCGGAACCTCCATCACCAGGTACTCCAGGGAAAGAAAGTGATGGAAAGAAGAGGAAGGATTTTGATGGAAAAGATGGTGATCTATGTGAAGAGGAGTATTTGCATAAGCAGAAATGGGAGTTATTGAGAAAGGATGATTTTCCTCAGGCACCTGCTAAGCTAACAGCATGTGATTATCATAAGGGGCTTGATATGCTGGTTGTGGGGTTCTCAAATGGTGTGTTTGGTTTATATCAGATGCCTGATTTTGTGTGTATTCATTTGTTATCGATTTCAAGAGAGAAGATCACTACAGCTGTTTTTAATGAGCTGGGGAACTGGTTGACGTTTGGGTGTGCAAAGCTAGGGCAGTTGCTTGTCTGGGAGTGGCGATCAGAGAGTTATATATTGAAGCAGCAGGGGCATTATTTTGATGTTAACTGTCTTGCATACTCACCAGACTCACAACTATTGGCCACTGGTGCAGATGATAACAAAGTCAAGGTATTTTATTTATTCATATGCAAAATATTGTGTGATTTGGAATTATATGTGTATACATGCTATTTAATTGTCCATTGCAGGATCGTATGCTGCTTCTACTTAGCCAACTAACATGCATCCTTATAAATATATAATATTTTCCTATATTATGTTGTAGATAACAATGTACCATACTCACTTCCCTCCAGTCGATTGATTTGGTAGTATCATTCATGATGTGCAATTATTTTGGTTTCTCCATTTGTGCTTATTGGTCTGTTGGATGAAAGATCTAATAGCTGATGTTATTAGCTCCTGTTTAACTATAAAAATCTTTATTTTATTCAGTTCACTGCAAACTAGTTAGCATTTTGCACAAACATTGTGTCATTATCTTCAATTTAACATTTGAGTATAATTATGTATTTCTCTGGAGTATTATGTCAATGAATTTTTTTTTTCTAATAAAAAAATAGGATTGTTGTGATCCTATAGGTGATTTTTTTTTTTTTTTTTTTTTTTTAACGTCATTTCATGCTAATCTGTCAATGATTACCTTCCTATTTTAAAATTTGTATGTAAAATTCTTTAACTCATGTGCAGGTTTGGACCGTTTCATCAGGCTTTTGCTTTGTGACATTCACTGAGCACACTAATGCTGTCACTGCTCTCCATTTTATGGCCAATAACCACTGCCTTCTAAGTGCATCTCTGGATGGTACGGTTCGTGCATGGGATTTGTTTCGCTATAGAAATTTTAGGACTTTTACTACCCCTTCTTCCAGGCAGTTTGTTTCTTTGGCAGCAGATCAAAGCGGCGAAGTTATTTGTGCTGGAACTCTAGATTCATTTGAGGTACATTTTCTTATCACTAAGAGATTTTGATAGTGCTCTGCTATCATAATTTATCTTCCCTGATTTCTTTGTAATGTGTATATTGTAGATATTTGTTTGGTCAATGAAAACAGGCCGTTTGTTGGATATTCTAAGTGGTCATGAAGGTCCTGTCCATGGCTTGGCATTTTCTCCTACAAATGTGAGTTTGACTTATCCTTTGATCAAGTGCTTACACTGGTTAGACGTGCCAATGTTTCATTTGACCTTTTTCTCTGAACCTGAAGTGTTTTATTTAAAAAGCTTTACACTCATTTCCTTATGGTTTTCTTCTTGATTCTTTTAGTTTATCTAACTGGTTTCAAGTGATTCTCCATACCTTATAGACTATTCAGATATTTTATCTTATCTTTTGACTCATGAATAGCTTAACAAATTTGTTCTGTTTTCACATGTAGGCTGTTTTAGCTTCATCATCATGGGACAAAACTGTTCGCTTGTGGGATGTTTTTGAAGGAAAAGGTTCTGTGGAATCCTTCCCTCACACACATGATGTTCTTACAGTGGTTTATCGCCCAGATGGAAGGCAATTAGCTTGCAGCACATTGGATGGGCTGATTCATTTCTGGGATCCAATTAATGGTGAGTTAATGTACACCATTGAGGGGCGTAGGGATATTGCTGGAGGGCGTCTCATGACTGATCGTAGATCAGCAGCTAATTCAAGTTCAGGAAAGTACTTCACAACATTATGTTATTCTGCTGATGGAAGCTATATATTAGCTGGGGGAAGTAGCAAATACATTTGTATGTATGATGTAGCTGATCAGGTTAGTTTACATATATTATATAAAAGCATGTGAATACATTCTTGCTGAACCTTGTGTTAATGAAGATACGGATTCATCACTACTGCACAGGTTCTGCTGCGTCGATTTCAAATAACGCATAATCTCTCTCTAGATGGGGTTCTTGACTTCTTAAACTCTAAGAATATGACAGAATCAGGTCCAGTGGATTTGATTGATGATGATAACAGTGACACAGAAGAAGGGGTTGATAAACAAACACGAGGGAAGTTAGATTACGATTTACCAGGAGCCATGCCTAATCGTGGAAGGCCCATCATTCGAACTAAATGCTTGAGACTTGCACCCACTGGTCGGAGCTTTGCAGCAGCAACAACAGAAGGGGTTCTAGTTTATTCAATTGATGAATCTTTTATCTTTGATCCCACTGATCTTGACATAGATGTCACACCACAGGTACTTATCTAAACCGTGGAACATATGAAATTTTATGTTGTTATTGATTCTGATACGGCAACCAAAATCTCTTGAAGGAAATTGTTATTTTTTTTATTATTATCATTCATATGTTGCTCACTGGTTACGAATGAAAATCATGGTGAAGCAATAGAAAATCAACATGCATTTAAGTTTAATTGTAATTAACAGGATCACCTTAACTTATTTGCAGGGTTGGTTCTCTACTTAATTTTGTTTTACATTATTTTTTACCTTATTGCACAGGCAGTTGATGCAGCATTAAATGAAGATCAACCAAACAGAGCTTTAATTCTCAGCCTTCGTTTAAACGAGGATAGTCTAATAAAAAAATGCATTTTTGCTGTCAGTCCAGTTGATATACCTGCTGTTGCCTCTTCTATTCCTCACAAATACATGCAAAGGTTAATTGAGGCACTTTCAGATCTTCTAGAAAGTTGCCCACATTTGGAGTTTATACTCCGCTGGTCTCAGGTACTTTTCCATAAATCTTTTTTGATTTCCTCTGTTAATTTTAAATGCAAACCACTTTAAATTGCGAATACGAAATCTTACATGGATTCTGCCGGTTTGTGTCAGGAGCTTTGCAAAACTCATGGTAACTCCATTCAACAGAATTCCAGGAACTTGCTTCCTTCCTTAAAATCCTTGCAGAAGGCAATTACCAGAATACATCAGGATTTAGCAGATACTTGTTCTTCCAATGAATATATGCTTCGATATTTATGCTCTGTGGGTGCTAAGAAGTGATGATTGCTGTACTTTTTCCGGTTGTGACTTGGCACTTATGTGAAATTGGCTAGGGAATTCGGCCGTTTTGTTGTAATGCAGGCCATGGTTAGCATTTGAGCTAACTAAAATCACGCGAGGTATAATTCTCATGTGGCAACAGGCAAGCTGTAAAGAATTCCTCAACACCATCGACAAATAATGCAGTATCCCTTGGATCAAATGCTGCTGTTTATAACAAAATATATGCAGCATCAGACCAGCTGCTTTTTTATTTTCTTTTGTCGTTGGCAATTCATCATGGATGTGTTGTTATACGGTTTTGCTCATGAATCGACAGTGAAACAATTTTGTTGTGAAAACATCAGTCTTATAGATAGGTATTGCTCAATATGCTTTTTCTTTTTTTTTATTTTGTAGTTTTTGTTCTGTTGTGAAAAAACGGTGTAAGGGCATTTTTTAATATTACAGCTAAATTTTTTCATATTTTGTATAGATTTACGAGTTCTGTAATGTGATAACGCGGTATCCTTGAAGCGATGCTGCTGTTCATATCAAAATATATCTAGCATCGGACTAGCTATTGTTATTTCTTTGGTGCTTCACATTGGCAGTTCATCATGGATGTGTTATTAACAGTATTTTAAAACCCGGCCTGACTTGGGGTTTTCACCGGGCCGGATTACCCATTTCAGTATTCATTAAAAACCTTAAAAATTAGGATAATAATTGGCAAACAATTGAAGGTCGGGATGTTGAGGCTTTTGAAGAGAAAGGGTTGGTGAGTGCAATGGTGACGACGAAATTGATTTCCTGAATCGATCGAAAATTGAGAAAAACCGGAGACGGCAACAATCGGCTTTTGTCAGCGATTGGCGAGACGAACGGGAGTAGGTTGAGATGAGTTTTGGTCACAAGGCTGAGAGAGAGGGAAGTGTTTTTGTGGTGATAGATAGGGTTGTCGACGCTAGTAGTAGTGAGATTTGGCTTAGAACGTTGACGTTGGTGTCGGTGAAATCTAGCCAAAATTGAAATGATTTTGGCCAAATCTTGGATAGATTTTATAGGGAATGAGCTCAATGGATGATTAGGATTGCATTTGGTTTGTCGTTGCCATCAACCAATCGACTGCCAATCTGTATATAGAGTTTGTTTGCTAAATTTCAAATCTATAAAAACTTAACTGTGATTTTTAGAAGTGTATTTGTTGAATTTTAAAATTTTTGTCACTCGATTTAACCGGGTTAAACCGGTCAACCCAAGACCCATCAACTTTGTTGAGTTTCACCCAGGTTGGTTATTAATTCAAGACTCTTTAAACGCCTTTGAAACTATTTTGTTATGGAAACATTAGTCTTATGGATAGGTATTGCTCAATAATCAATGTCCATGTTGTAATTTTTCGTTCTCTTGTCATAAAACAAGAATATGGATTTCTTAACTGGAAACCAGTCCTCAAGACTGTTTTGGTAACTAATTTATTTTAAGGTCAACAGTACAAATAGATTGAAATCAACTACAAGGAGTAAGCAAACAATCCCAAGCTTATCTCATGGGACAAGAAACTAAGCAAAAAAGAACACTAGTATCCCATCATTTTTTTGCAGTAACGCCGAAGAATAGTAAACACCTAATAAGTCTATCCCAACACTTGGCATTCAACAGCAGCAATTCATTCTGATTTCTTGTCCGCCGAAATATCTTTGAGCTTCTCTTTCAGCTCGCCGGTCTACATGGGATATAGACCATGGTATTAGAGCAACAAAGTTGCACTTTCATGGAAAGGTACAAATTATGTTCAATAAATATAAAATAATAGTCCTATACCTGGTGCATATTGAGAATTATATCTGAACCTCCAATAAACTCTCCCTTAATAAAAATCTGAGGAAATGTAGGCCAGTTGCTGCATAGAAAGAAATAAGAGATTTTTATAAAACAAGTACAATCTGGGATTGGAATAACGAGAATGTCATACATGTTGACTTGTGTCCTACTCAAAAATCTTTTTTTTTGGGTAAATGGAAATAGTATAAAGAATGAAAGAATGAGACCCCAAAAAGAGAGGCTCTACAAGAGTTTATGCGTCCTGGACATTTCCAGGAACCAAACAAAACACAACAGAAACAAAAAAATCAGCATTTACAATCCTGACAACCAGCAAGCTAAACTCACGGAGGCCTAAAACAGCAGACCAGCAGCACAAAAAAGGCAGGCCTTGCATCAAAACGAAAAAGAGCCTGAACAAATTTACATATGGACACAGCTAACAAAAAAAAAAATTTAAACCACATGTAAGAAGAAATTCTACATATCTATCATGGGAAACATATGTATCTCTGGAAAAAAATTTATCGGACTCTATTGTCAATAAAATTAAAATTTGAAGGAAAAAACCAAGGCAGTAAGTATCTAGAACTATCAGAAACAATCCATGACAAATCAACTATAAAAAGCATGATTAAAATCTTAAGCAGAGGCATCAAGTTTGTGCTAGCAACAAGTAAAATTTTTGCCTCTAGTAAAAGTGATAAAAGAACATTAATATAGTCTTGAAATTGAACTAAAAAGGCACCCTATGTTGCATGTTACCACTGCAGTTTGATAACATCTCATAACACTAAAAAATACAAGCATTTTCTCACCAACAAAAAATTTATGCCTTTTTAGAGCTTTTTCAAGACCATATTTAACATTAGAGTTAAATCCTGTCCACTACTAACTCACCTGAAGGCTTTTACAGCGTCTTTAAGCTCAGCATCCTCCAAAATATTTCTAGCACTTAAAGGAACATCTGCACAGGCCCCAACCATGAGTAAAAATACTGTAAGCAGCAATATATATGCTAAAGAAATCAACAAATCCCATTGAGATAAAAACAATATGCAGAGGCCACTAGGGTAATGTTGAACTTTTATTAATAACCGAATATCCTGTATAATTGACAATTCCTGAAGACCAATTTGGTCCTGCACAGCAATTCTATTACAAACTATTTGAATATTGCATCCAAAATAGAAAAAATTATATCTGATATAGAGGTACCAAAAACGTCAAGTATAGCAATTGAAGGCCTAAATATAAAGAAATCTTTTCATAAACAAAGTTAAGAAAGAAACTAAACTATCTGTAAAAAGTCATGTATATAAAGCTCCAGTGATCACTCGCTCTTAGTTTTGGAAAGACTTGTGCAGGCAGTATCACTTCAGAAGCTCAATAACCCCTTATCAACTTAGTTAAAACTGTCTGTAAATTGATCTTCCGTAACCATTCTCTTGTACTGAGATGCAACTGATCTTTCTATCTAGAAGGAAAGACAAATACTATGAAGACAAAAATTTTATATAAATTATGATTGGCCATCTTGACTAATAATTTAACTTGGTTGTAATCCTAGCTCTGAGGCAATTTAAAATATGCATTTCTTTCGAGTACTGTACATTGAGCTAATAAGATGACTGCCCTTTTCAAAAAGCTGGTTATATGTGTAACATTCACAGCCACATAAAAAACAAACATTTAATGTATTTGAATTTCACATATGACTGAAGAGTTTATCTTGAATCCTTCAGCACAGTTAGAATAAGAGTGTAAGTGCATTCCCAAATAAAAACCAATGTGATGGCTTCTGCCCTCTTTCATAGCAAGTCAATAAGTTGTTTTATAGAAAATATTTCCAACACTGGCAACTGAAGAAACTTAAACAGGAAATGGATAAACAATTATAAAATTCAAGTCATTAGGCTAGAGCACCTACTGTATAGATGCAGAACTCTCACAGCCAGTGAGCTGAATCCACATTGAGGAATCTCAGGAATCCCTTTCATATAAATCATCACAGGGTTTTCTTTGACATCCTACAGCAAGAATCTAATCCCAATTACTGAATGCACAATTTTCATAGAAATTTAATATAGAAAATAATACTAATAATAATAATTTTAGCCAACAAAGCAAAACACAAAGAAGATTCAGAGGAAAAATTAACCTTTTCAACAGCATCCTTTAAAGAAAGGCCAGAGCTCTCAACCTTATTAGTAGGTCTAAAATCTTCATGTGTGTCAGGATCATTGGGCACAGAAGTAGAGTACTTCATTCCATTGTGGTAAAAGGATCCAGATAACTACTAACAATTAAATGCAAAACCATGAAAATATGTTATTGTTAAGACAGCAATAATACACTGGGCAAAACACTTCATGTCTGACAGTGATATACATGATAACACTCCATGACTTCAAAAACATATTTATCACTTAGCTAAGTTGGCACCATTCAGATTCATAATTCAACTAAAGTAAACGCAGAATTTACCCAACCTAACACCCAGAGAAGCAATTAATTCAGAGCTACAACAAGAAAAATAATGAAATAAAAATTTCTAACATAATGCATATTAGATAGTGCTTTTGTAGAAAATGCTTTGTGGGAAAGGACCCATGATTTCAGCAATTATTTCTGACCTAGAACAAGACAAATAATGAAATTAAAAATTTCTAACATCGTGCATATTAGAGAGCGCTTTTGTAGAAAATGCTTTGTGAAAAGCACCACTGATTTCAGCCAGATGATCCAAACTAAACAAGAACGCACACACACAAAAAAAAACTTTGGCATATTTAGAACTGCTTTTGGTGGCATTAAAAGTACTCCCAAACACACCCTTCAACCACACCAAAACTATAAATTCTGATTTCAGCCAATACAAACAAACTCCCATGTATTTTGGAAACATAAACGGACCAAAATCCCTAGTAATCAAATTCTGATAATCAATTACCAAAATATTCAATCTCATAACAAGTGACCTCATAATACTTCATTCATTTTCTACCCAACTCAAATCTTAAACGAACGATAGAATCTTTATTCTTACAAGTCTAGAAGAAGGCCCAACTGGGTAACCTGCGATTCCCTTCAAGATAAAGTTGGACAACGATCTTGCCATGTTGTTATAAACTGAGCAAATAAAAAACCACCGTCTATTAATTACAACGGTACAAGATTTCTTCCATTCCAAATAAACGAAACAAGTTGATATAAAGTAAGAATAGTTTGAAGGGACTCTTCATACACATGGGTTTTGAACAAGTGAAGATTTTAATACCTGAAATTGACACCAAGAGTTGAAGTGGGTTCTCTGTTACTGTTTTAGGGCTTTGGCTTCAGTTCTCTCCAGTTATTTCACTCTTATGTTTATTACGTGTCTTTATTATTATTTGTTATTTTTATCTTGCCTTCAATTTTTTTTTCTTTGGTAAATAAGAATTAGCAAACTTAAAATGCTACAAAAAAAAAAAAAAAAAAAGGAAAAATATTTATTATTTATCATCGGTAACTTTGAGTTTAAAGGGAAAAAAAATAAATAAATAAAAGAATGGAAGAATAAAATTAGCTTATTCTTTTGCATTTTTTTTCTTTCTAATAATTGGGGGTGTCTGAGCCAGTTTACGTGTACTTCAATTAATCTCTCGAGACCTTGAAACTACCGACTGAGTATAAATTCTAATGACCACCTTTATTAACAATCGTAGAGACTCGAACTCGATAGAGCATATTAGAACCATTTGCACTTTTATTAATTAAAATATTGATTTGCTGCAAATCCTCGTTAGTCAATTTAGTTTTGAATTTATATAAAATTACTTGTTTTCTAATGAAAATAGTTTAACTTTTAGTATTTTTGTTAATTTAGAAAGAAAAAAAAAAAACGATTTTTCTCTTCTTATTTTATGTGATTTTAACTATACAACCAATTTTAGTTGTTTAGTCCTAAAATAATATCCAAATATTATATTAAATAAGTTTTTGATATTCTTTTTAAATGCAACACAAATTAATGAAATATTTTTTGGGCCAATGTTTGAACCAAAAAAAATAAATAAATAAAACACCTCATATTTTTCAAGTTAATTATATAAGGATTCTTTTGTGATTATTTGAAGAAATAAGTGAATCAAAAAGTAGCACAAAAAGAACATCAGCATTAAAGTTTTCTTGATAACATATTTCTCAGGCAACAATATGGTAATTAACTTGAGTTCCGATTAAGCTAAGGTATCACACTTTCAATAATGCTATGGATACTGAAGGTTTACACCAAATTTTTACACCGATCGACGTGTCACCTGAGTCAAACGCAACCACGTAACATATTAACAACTATTCTATGAATGAACGGTTGTCCATCAAATATGGACAAACATCCATGATTATTAGACGGTTGTTCATTTTAAATGGACTCCTGTCCATGCGAAAATAACAATGGACGGGTGTCCACCTAGAATGGATCTCCATCCATAGTTTAAAATATAAAATTTATAAAACAATAATCATGGATGGCGTCCATGATTAGTGTTTTATAAAACATTAAAATCTTCTCTTCAAACTCTTCTTCCTCATCTAGCTCTTCAATGCTATCCATGCTTGATCTGTTTGGTTCTTTAGTAATCCAAACAGCCAAAAAAAAAAAAAAAAAAAGAAGGGATGAGCGACGCGGATGAAGCCTTTGAAGCGGGTTAGGTTGGTCCAACCAAGAAAGTCATCGAAGAAAGATAAAGATGCAGAAGCAAACCAGGTGAGAGCTTGATGGACGTTGGGTTGTGTTGGTCCAGACAATCACACGCATTATTTTTCCTTTGTCTTACTTTATCTGTATGCAGACGCAAACCAGGTGAGAGCTTCTCTGTCCAATTGCATTTTATGGTTTTTTTCTGTGTTTTTTAATGGCTGTCCTTTTTATTCATTAGCTTAGTTCCATTGGGAGTATTTCATGTTTACCTTATATTAACTGTTGGTCTTTAAATCACATTGTCCACATGGAGGGATTGTGATTTCTGTTGGTCTTTAACTCTGGTTTTTAAGCTAATTTTATACATGTTTTGTTCTTTTGGTCATCTTAAATTTGAGTTTGAAGTTGTTCTTTAAATCACATTATAATAATGGACGCCTGTCCATATTATACGGATGGGTGTCCACATTAAATGATAAGCAAATAATTTTTTTTTTTAATTAACATATTTTTTTCAATTTATAAAAAAGATTAGCTTGTCTAATACGTTTCTCCAAAATAAGTGCCAAAATTTTTTGAAAAAAAAAAAGAGCTTCATTGTTAAAGCTAATACCTTTCGCTTTATCGTTCCTAACTTTTCTTCTCGTCTATGTGTTCTGGTTAGTCTTCTACATGGTATTGTCGGTTTCTTCCTCAACAGCCACAACAAGCAGCTATCGTGACAAGAAAGAAAGCCATCATTTTTTTATAAAAGAATCGTTTAGGGTGGAAAGGGAGTTGGGGAGATCAAACTTGTTCGGGATTAGAAAGCATTGTTGAGGTATTTAAGAGTTTTTTATTTAATTTATGCATTTATTTAGTTTTGTATTATATTTTGGATTGAATATATGTTACAATAGAAAATAACTGATAAACAATATTTGTTGGCGACTGTTGTGAACCAAATTCGTGAACGCGAAAACTAGTATTGGTTTTGCATAAAACTACGGAATATGCAAGAGTCCAGTTTGTCTCATTTCAATGATGTTGAGGTAAATTGAGTTCGAAACCTTAACTTTTTCGTTAACATGATTTTAAATTTGTTGTATTGTATTGTTTCTTATGATGTGTTGTATTAGTATATTCTAATTTTGTCCATTATAAAATTATTAAATGATCAGGAAAATGAATGTGATAAATTAGAAGATATGGGATGTGTGGAGGAAGAAGTGGAGCCTCATATTGGATTGGTGTTTGATTCAATTGATAGTTTGGTGAAGTATTACAAAACGTATGGTAACAAAATGGGTTTTTAAGCAATGATACGTACGTCAAAGAAAGGAGATGATAAGGAGATGAGATACGTGACAGTGGCGTGTTCTTGTTCTGGAAGGAGAGATATAAATCCAGAAATACCTTGAAAAAACAACATGTTGCTAAAACAAATTGTAAGAGTCAAATTAGTGCAGCTTTGAATGGTGAATGCAAATTAAAAATTAAATTAGTTGTACTTGAACATAACCATGATCTTACAAGTTCAACGAAAAAAAGATATTTCAAGGTAAACTGAACGATACAACCTTATGTGAAAAGGAGGCTTGAAGTTAATGATATGGTTGGGATTAGACCGTATAAAAATTTTCAGTCATATTCAGTTGAGGCGGGAGGTGTAGAGAATTTGACGTTTCTACAAAAAGATTCTAGGAACTAAATTGAAAAAGTTAGAAGCTAAGATTTGGAGTTGGAGATGCTTTGGCAATACTCGAGTATTTTATGAAAATGCAAAAGGAGAATTCAAATTTCTAGTATATAATTGATGTAGATGAAGAGAGTCGATTACAGAATGTGCCATGGGTTGATGCCAGATGTAGGGCTACATAATAAAGAATTTGGTGATGTTGTGACCTTTGACACAATGTATCTGACAAACAAGTATGATATACCATTTGCTACTTTTGTGGGGGTCGATCAACATGGACATTCGATATTGTTAGGTTGTGGGTTAATTTCCCATGAGAACATTCGGACATTTGTATGACTATTTTGTTATTGGCTTGAATATATGGATTTTGCTCCTAATGGAATTATCACTGATCAAGATAAGGCCATGCAAAATGAAATTGAGATAGTTTTTCCCAGTACAAGACACAGGTGGTGTTTGTGACATATAATGAAAAAATTGTCTGAAAAGTTAAGAGGGTATAAGGAATATGAAACTATAAAGTTTCAATTACAAAATATTGTGTATGATTCTTTTACACGTGAAGAGTTCGAAGAACGGTGTAACAAATTCATTGATGTGCACAACCTCCATGAGAATAAATGGTTATGTGGATTGTACAAAGAAATAGTACGTTAGGTGCCTGCATTTCTTAAAGATACTTTCTAGGTAGATATGTCTACTACCCAACGTAGTGAAAGTATGCATTTTTTTTTATGGATATGTAAATTCTAAAACAATGTTGAAACAATTTGTGGAACAATATGATAATGCATTGCAGGATAAAGTGGAAAAGAAAGGGAGGCTGATTTTAGATCTTTCAAATTTTTGATATCATTCATAACTAATTACCCTATTGAGAAACAATTTCAAAGTGCATACACAACTGCAAAGTTTAAAAGGTTTAAAGAAGATTGCAGGGAAGATTTATTGTGAATTATCTTTTCTGAAAAAGTGTGATTCATATGAGGAGTATCAAGTTTTTAGAAGATGTTTGGTTTGAAGATAATAATCGGCGTGTTCCCTTTGCGGTATACTTTGAAGAAAGTTTGTGTGATATTCATTGTACCTGTCATTTGTTTGAGTTTAGATGGATTTTATGTAGACATTCCATTATTGTGTTGATTCATAAAAGGGTTTCACACATTCCAAATAAGTACATTTTACGCGTCGGACGAAAAATTAAGGTAAGTTATAATAGGTGGAGCACCAACGTAGAAGGACAATGTTTTGATAAGTTGTCTAATATAATGATGTTTTGATAAGTTGTCTAATATAATGCTAACAGTAGCTGATATGACATCAAATAATGAGGAAGATTGTAATATGTTGATGGAATTTATGATTGACATGAGAAAAAAGTTGGAGCAGAAAGAAAGTGAGGGAATGCTTGGTAGGAAAGTAAACATCTCTTCCACAACCGGTTTAAGTAGTAAAGATGGGAGCAATCCTCCCAAAGAGGGGAATAGTCTAATTATTAGTCCATATACAGTTTGTAATAAAGGTCATCATCTATGCAGAAGAAACCAATCGAAGGTTGAATAAATTGTACGTAGGGTTAAAAATTAAAAAATTACAAAAACAAGGAATTGGTATGAGTCATACACCTATTCTTACATGATATTTGTTTTTGAAACATTATTTATTTGAAGTTTATAATAATATCGACTTGATTATTACTGTGTTATGCTACTTTTTAGGAAAAAATCATTAGCAGAGCGAGAAAATGAACAGTTTCTTTCATCTACTTCCATGGCCGATGCCCTCACATATGATTACGTTAACACTGTTGAAAGTATACCGGAAACTCAAGTGTTGTCGAATGATGTTGTTGCTACCCAGGTATGTGTTACGTATGTTATATAATTGTAAGTGGCTTAAATTTTCTATAACGTGTGCTGAATTGTGGTTGTTAAACATTGACAGTTGTCCATTGGTTTGATTCAGAATCTCGCAGGAAAAGTAATTTATGTACTGGGCAGGAGTCTGTAAATGATGAACATGTTTCGCTGGGAGAGATT